ATATATTCCAGCCTGACCAGGAATCTACGCAAGAATAGATATATATATATAAATGTTCCCCAGGCGTGTTGTGTCCATTGTCTGTTTTTGAAACTTGCCACTAGAGTTATCCCTTCCATCATATCTAGTCTCAAAATTGCCTTCTCGTAGATTGTAAGTACATTTTTTGGTATCTTATATTGTCCAATACTCAGCAAGGCATGGCCTTGTACTGCTTCAATCCTTGACAAAAACAACACTTGTACCGCCAAGTCACTGTACCTACTTGGAACTTCCTGTTAGGAGTAGTGTTTGCCTGCAATGGTGAGACTGCCATCTGTGGTTCTGGATCCGGAGAGGTTATAATCTTGGAAATGTTTACTGCTGAGCCCCTTCAATCCTTGACTCATGGAGGTACGCAGTAGAGCCATTCAAATAACAAGATTCCCCCACACTGATGTTAATTTAGATTATCTGGTCCAAATCGTAGCTGTGAGTCATGATAGATCTTACTAGTCGTTTCACTATTCATCATTCCACAGACATGCCATTGAGATAAATATGCATTGATTGCCACCGGTTCCATTGGTTGTGGGGGAGAGACTGTAATAAAGCTCTGGCGGGCTAATCGAGGTATGCATACTGAAGTAATATGCCATTTTTATGTGATTTATGTTGGATGACAGATCTCTCATTGGAACACTCTTTGATTGTGTCCTATAACAGAGCAGTGCATTTGGCTGACAAGGAAGACGAGGTGAAACTGATGACATCTTTCTCGGCAGATGCGCTTTGCGCGACACCATGCAGATGAAGTCATGTATTCAGCCATTTTGGTATGTCTAGCATTTATTTGTGCCTTTGTTGTCTTTCCCTTGCCATATTATGGCTATGTGTTCCCGAAAGGTGATGTGAGCATGTAAAATTAATTCTCGTCAAATTGCTGCTAATCCCTCACAGAGATTTCTTTTATGTGGCTCATCTACTCTCAGCAATATCCAGTATTACCTGGTAGTCTTTACAAGATCAGCGTTCAGAGTAGCACTAGTTGGCACAGCTCACATTCTATCCAGTCTTCTCGAAATGATGGCTTCCATGCATGCTTTGTCACACACATTGCCATGGAAGAGCTATAGAGGTGTATCAATACTTGTTGTCCTCATTTATCAATGAATCTCATTTGCAACTGTGTTCCAAACATCATACAATTCATTTAAGTTGACATGTTCTATATAATGTCATAGTAGTTCAATGCTTTGACAGTTTTAAATATTCAAGCACCACTGTAAATGATCGTCTGTCAATACATTTTAATTGCTTGAGTACTCAGCATAAATGATGACACTACACACCTTTTTGATCAAGAAGAATAAATAAATAAATTGTACATACATAGGAACAAATAACCTTTCCTATCACCTTTGTGATCCGTTTGAGGGAAACATAAATATTTTCCAGCTTGTGAGAACATGAGGGCACCCATGAAGGCTATAGGTGGGGCTCACAATGTCACCTGTCTCCCACCAAAGCTTATGGACACACCAGAAAGTACTTTCTGAGAATCCAACACATGTAAGAATATTGTGGAGAGAGAGATGTTGACACTTGTAGAGATTAACAGCAGCAAGTTTGATGTCACAGCTTATTTTTGATACATCAATGATGATTGTTGCAGTGTGAGACAAATACTAAGCTAGATTATTTATTTGTTCTTCTTTCTCAAAAATGTGCGTAGTGTCATTTCCTGTAAACCTAAGAAAACAAACATGTAGGATACTTCAAATTATGTATCATTGGCGGGTGTATTGTGATGCATTGTGATCTTTGCGATCATTGAGGGGGTGAACCTGTGGCCTGCTTTCGTTGAGAAATTTGTGTTCAAGTACATGTATGGATGGATATCAAAAATAACTCCTGATATGATATTATAAAGACTTGCTACCCTTTAATGGTTGTAAGGCTGTCTTCAACTACAAAAGGGGATCGAATCCTGATGGCGTAGTTAGTAGATGTAGAACAAAGTTAGCATGAGGTCAGAAATACAAGGTGTTTTTGGATAGAGTCTTTGTATGGGAAGTTCTGTTTGATGTGAGCAGGGAATCAGTGTCTAGGATTCTGCTAAGGTATGAGTGTACATGGGTGGTTAGGGGCCTAAAGGACTTAGGGTCCTTACCTGATGCTCTAGTTTGTGGTGATGGATAAAACATATAAAAGTTTTGCTCTGCAACAGTGCAAAGAAATAATCTGCAGTCCTCATATCCTCTCATGTGAGGGACAGCCAATCCTAATGAGCTTCCTGTGCAAGAGAATGCAGTAATTTTTGTGGTCCTCCCCATGGGAGGAACTTCCAATTGTGATCTATAATAGAAATGGTTGGAAGGATCTCATTGATGCTTTATTGATTTTCCTTTCATGATATTGAGACAATTGTATCATATTATAATATTAGTGTTAGATGTAGATGGCAACATGGAATCTCAAATGTTGAAGACAAATACGGACTTCCACAAAATCTGAGCGAGAGTCGTGGTGAGATAGTGACCTTGCTTTCCCATCTGACATTTGCAGTTTGACAACATTGTCCAAAATGAGAAAACTTCTGCATGTCTTGCTCACAAGTCACTACACTACTACTGATTGTTTTTGTGTCTTTTCAGAATCTCATCAAGAGAGGCACTGGTACAGTGACTCTGAATCTTCCACCCTGCTTGCCTACTTTCTACAATGATTAGTGGTACCGTCCACAGGTCTCTGCTCTACACACTTGCCCTCCCATTTATTCCTAAGGATAACACCCATTTTCACAATTGACAGCTCCTCAATCATCAACCTCATGATCTGATTGCCCTCTCACCACCTGTTAGCACTACTTTTAATTGACTGTCAAAATTCTATGACATTACTGTCAACATTACTGTCAATGTCAACTGTTAAAGTGTTAAGTGTTAATGTTAACAATTATATCAGGGAGTACAGTGTGAAATCAATTTGTTTGTTCAGGGTGCTTGCAAGGTCAGCACAATTTAATGCCAAACAAAACGACTACACATTGTAGTACAAACAGACAAGATCAAGACAGATTGAGCAAAATGTGAGTATTCTTCAAATAAAACCACTAAGTTCTCCTCAGTTGCACTCAGGTGACATTGAGATTGTTTTCTGTATGAGTGCAAGAAAAAAAGGGTCAAACAAGGAGATGACAAATAAAATTTTATTGACTGCCTCAGAGTCATGTCATACAGGAAAAAGAAAGACTAGAAAACCAGAAAAAAATACAAAAGATGATTACATGGGAGTACAATCTGTCCTCCAACTTGACTGTGAGGACAAAGAGAAATCAGTTAAAAAGTCTACTCCTGCATAAGGCTGAAGTTGTGATGATGACAAGCAAAATGTATGATAAAAAAACATTTTGGTATAAGGTAGATGGCAAACTAGGTACTTTTTGAATTATCTTAGGATAATGTTGGGTAATTGAGACAGAAAAAATGTGCCACTCCTCACAATGTCTTCAGAATGTTTTCCAAGGAGACATTGTCTTTTTCTCCCAGTGACATACACGGGAACCTCAGTTTCTGGTGATTCATATACTGGACTATGTATCATTAGGGTTGAGAGATAAGTGACCAAGGTGAGCCCTGGCTGGAGCTGGGAGAGGTCAGCAGAGTATAGCACCAATAAAATAGAACTCCCTACCTTGGCCAGATCAGCAGGTGGACACTGCTCATCATCAGACATGCTGAATCCATTGTTAAAATATTCAAATACTCATATAAAGAGGGTAAAGTGTGGGCTGAGTGCTGAGTAGCAAGTACCCAATGAATTCTACATTGGTAGTGGGGGCATCCTTAAGACACTGAGCAAGGCTTTCTAGTGTGACAATATAGTTTTCCCTGGACTGATATTACCTCGTTTTACTTACCATCACTTACCTCCACCTTCCTTAGTTTATGTTCATGTTTTTACTACTTACATAATCAGGTCTCCCTTTCACCACTGTCAGTACCAGTCTAAATCACAGTCTTTTGCTTGATGATATTTCTACTCTCTGAGCTCTGAGTCTAGTACAAAAATCCTTTAGGGTCAAATAGCAGCTAGGCATAGCAATTTTGACCCAACATTTGAAGAGTGCTTTACAGTTCTCTTCTTGTTGTGTTTACCATACTGGGCAATCAAACAACCTACAAAGAAAGAGACCAGTGCAGAGGGCTCAAGTTGGAAAAATATGCATTACCCTCAATCCTGTCAGAATTTACTGAGTTGGACATTGTGGCTGAGGGAAGCAAAGGCACTATGAAGCTTATTTAAAGCATTTTGTGTGTTAGATATGAACTGCATTGATTTTGGGGTTATTCTATTCCTGCCTGGGCCACCATAAGTAGTACACTGTAGCCAGTTTGCTTTTGTAGTGCCATTGACTCAGAAGAATTCCTGTGGTCTAGGGTGTCACAGCAGTGTTGGTGTATTACAGGTACATACCTGCTTTAAATTTTAGAGCCATCACAATGCCAATGACTGACAGTCTTCAAAAAAAAAGAGCAATGTGAGGGTGGAAACATTAAGCATGAAATTTGCATACCTGAAGATGAAATGAGCACATCTGGATCCATGGTGTCACTGCTGCAGGGCTGCCTATACATTGTGTACCTTGATTGTGATAATTTCTAATTAATCCTATGGCGTGACACAATTGCAGTAGTGTAGAAAAAACCACACACATCATGCTGATCAACAAATGATGTGTGTCATGCATCCTAGTCAACATTTCAGATCTAATTTATTTCCAGATATTTTGTGTACTAACTTACTGTTTTTTGGTAAGTGTCATCTGCTCCAAGTGGACAAAAAATTCAACATTATTGCAGGCTGCTATTTAAAATACAATAGATAGAAAATCCAGTATTATCCTTGAAGGAACATGTCCAATTTTTGCATCATGTCCCATGGCCAGAAAATCTTCAACACGTGAATTGATTTTTTCAATGTTTTGACAGGCAACATGAGAGGAAATTTCTATCTTCTCAATCAATATTTTTTGGATGTTTGTTGGAGAAAAATAGGAAAATGCCTGCAGTGATTTGGGCATGCTGTTGGTAATGGTCCAAGGATGGTGCATGGCGTTGGGGTGGGTCGTTGGCCTTGGTGACACGTTCCTTGCCCTGCAGTTCTCCCTTGTTCTCTTCTTTCTCTCCTCCTGACCTCTCCTCCTCTTCCTCTCGTTCCTCTCTTCTACCTCTTTCCTCCCACTCTCTAGTGCCATCTGCGTCCGTTCAAGTCGCATCAGCAATCGCTGACGCGTACTGGGTGTTCGCGTATGATGCTGTGTGCTGGTGGAGTGGAGCTGGGGCTGCAGATGGTGGTCTGGCCATTGGTGATGCTGGTGTCCGTAGCATTTGGTGCATGGGCGACGAGAATGGCATGGTGGGGGTGGGAATGGGCTTGGGTAACGTAGTGGTCACGATGGGAGCTGGGGATAGTGAAGTGCGCGTGGTAGTTAGTCGTTGAGGGCCAGGTCTTGCTCTGGGGTGCAATCAAGGTCAGCACTCACTGGCTCTACTCTTTCCTCATGTCAAAAACAGTCTGCTCCCTTCCTCTTCCCCATCCCTTCCTCTCCTTCCTGCTCTCCTCTGCTTCTTTTCTTGTCCCGGCATTTTTGATCGATGTTCGTATGCGTTTGGTTCACGTCAGCATTCACTGACGTGTCACTGGGCCGTATACTAGATGTTGCGGGTCGTTGGGGACGAGCTGGTGTTGGGTTGAATGGGGCAATAGAGACGGTGTGTGCTGGTGGGTACTAAAACGAGGTGGTGGGCACTAGTACCGGTGTGTGCGAAGTGGTGGGTGCCGACATTGGCACGTTTGACATGGCACTCACAGTGTGAGCCAGGGAAGTGAAGGTGTGTGTTGCAACTGGTTCTCGGTGGGCCAGTACTCACTGGGCTTGGTCTATCCTCGTCTCGAGCACCATCTTTTCTTCCTTCCAACTTCTTCATCTCCTCCTCTTCCTCATCCATCTCATCCCATCCTTTCTCTCTTTCTTTCTCCTGGCTGGGGGTGCCTTCCGCACGTGTTCAATCGACGCCAGCAATCACTGGCGTATGGTTGGCTCGTGCGCTAAGTGCTGTTGCTGGGGGCGCGGTATGTATACAGGGCTGCCGAAAAACACGTGCTGGTGGGGTCGTCGAATATGAAGATGTCAATGGTGGTGGAAGTTTGAATTGGGCGTTCTCACAGAAGGCGTGTGGTGCGAAGGAACTGATGGTAGAGGATGAAGCTTGTCTGGATGGGGGATGTATGGGTCATATGGTATAGCATTGAGTGGTGGGGTTGAATTGGTGGATAAGTGTGTCATAGGGGATCTGGAATGTGAACCAGAGGACTGGATAGAATCAGCAGGATCAATGGTAGACATTGGTGTTGTGGATCGCAGTGGAGACTGGTTGTTGATCTTGAAAGTGACAGACTTCTCAATGGTCTTCTTTGTATATGTGACAGAGTCGAAACTGATGTCTGATTTCATTGATAAGGATACAACAAACAAACATTGAAGCTTACCTGATATTTTCATAGCCCACATAAATTCCTCTAGACCCCCACTTGTTCTTGTACTCATCTTTGACATTTGAGATGGTGTCAAATTACTGGAGTTCATTTTCATGCTGACAGAAAGCAAGCTCAGAGGCAGGTAAGATATTTAACGTCATGTGCATACATAAGCTCACCTGTCAGTAAACATGATGATTGTTTTCTAGTCAATACCATGGCCATGTCGAAAGCTCACAATCAAATGGGACTGTGTAGTCAAAAGATTTATCAGTTAAGCTTGAAGCGTGATCAGAGTGGTCACTGTGTGGCCACCAATGCAGCGTATGGGCCTAGGGCTCTGTTACAGTGAGCCACAAGCATGCAGGTCTGGAGAAAAGAATGTCTGCAAGGTGCACCACAAGTTAATATCTTTATAGAATTAGTATTGACTCACCTATTATTAGCGATGACCATAGAACAATGCGAGGCCTTATAAGCCTTGAAGACCTGCAAAGCATATTGATAGATGCTCGAGATGACTAAATATGTTCTGCCAATGATATAAAACAGCTATTTTGCCCCAAAACATTGAGTCTCTGGAATTGGCTAGATCAGACCACATTGGAGTTTGAATTTCTTTTCCACCCATCAGTGGCTCATACCTTCAAATCTGAAACAACTGTCATTGTCATTGCCAGCATCCAACTCCTGCTTTGTTTATGCCTGACTTACCTTCACCTCCATCCTCTTCTGATTCTGAGGATTTCGGCAATGAATTCTAACCCCTCACACTGAGTCTTGCAGATATTGCAGCAACTTTGTCAATAGCTGCATCGCACATTAGGGCATGTCTTGCTCAATATCGGACAGAGGCTGCCCACACTAATATTCCTTTGCCTCAGATCATCTACTTTAAAGCCGGGCTACAATGGGAGATCACTGTAAGCAATCTGACTGATGACTGTGGTGGTCAATGCTGAGATCTCCCCCAGACTTTTGTGACACCGATTCTACAGTACTCAGCTGCAAGGAACATCATTTCAGTTATTCCAAGCCCAGTCACTCATATTCTGCAGTTGTTTCTCCAGCTCATCTGGAACTCGGTTCCTTGCATTCCACTTATCTCAGTTTCATGATGTCACAGATCTGGGAGATCCCTCCCGGATTGTATCCAACTAGTGGATAGGACATACTACAATCCTGAATGAACCATGGCAATGGGATAGGGTAATCACTTGCTGTGTGTTTCACTACCAGCATTGGCTAGCAAGAATTGTACACAACTTCCTTGATAGATAACTAATTTGAATCAGGGCAGCATTGAGGACAATGGTCTGGTTCTTCCTGAGCAGGTGGATGAAACTTTGGTGCCATATATTTCCAGGGATGATTCTACCAAGCCTAGTGTGATTGGAGATGCAATTGTAGGTAAATTGTGTGCAATGACAGTGGAGGTTCTCAATAACCCTAATATTATCTGCAAGGTCTGACCTCCAGAAGATTACTGCCTCCTAGTTCAATGCAATATATCTTGTGACTCCAGTAAGAACTAGTAAGCTACCTGTTAGTATGGGCCAGATGCAAGTTGTGGAGGCATGTATTTCAACTTGCTGTCAAGTCAATCAACATTCAGTACACCATCTGTAGGAAACAGTACTTTGGTATTGATATCAATGAATTTGGTTATCTCTTTTGTAACCTAACATACAGTGAGTGTCTGTATTGTTATTAGGCACCCATGACACCTGTTCCTGCTAACTCACCCTAAAAACTAACCCATATTGCTGTGAATATGTCTGTTACTAGTTCTTTGCTCTGATCACAGGGAAGCTCACCATCCTTATATTGGTTACATCTTTAATTATTTTCTCACCCTAACCATTGACATATGTTCTACTAACACCCTAACTACAGGAGCTATTTGGATGTATTCTGTTCCATCCTGCTTACTAATTTGTTCAATGTCTTTATATCTAACTTCATTTCTGTTAATCCATTAGATTTACCAATAGACTTTCTAAATCCTTTATATATATCTTATATTGTATCAAAGGCTAGCCTTCTAAAAAGGAGCTAGAGTTCTAGTATCTACATGTTTCAATAGATGATTATAGTAGTCAACACATAAGTGTTCTATATACTTTATAATATTCCATAGAATACCAACTTCAACTTACTAACTCTCCATTAGCTCATGTTCCATTGGAGGGTTTAATGGATAAATCCTCGCAGGAAACCAATTCCAACTCTCTACCCTTCATTAGCATGTGTTCCATTGAATGATTATACTCACTAAACCTAATTAACCCTGGAGCATTATATAAGTCAAACCCCCTATAATACCGACTCTAACTAACCCTAGCTAACCCTACATTCAAGAATTATAATAGTCAACCTATAAGTTTTCAACATACTTCCATTGATATGTATTCTATTGGAAGTGTATATTCAGTGATTTCTCTGAGGATACCAACTCTAACTCTCTAACTCTCTATTGCTACACATTTCATTGGAAGTGTTATAGTGACAGACCTATAAGTGTTCTATATACCTCAATTAACATCTTGGCACATGTTCTACTGGAGTGTTATAATAGTCAACCTATAAGTATTCTATATACCTGCATTGGAGGGTTTTGTTGGTGACTAACCCTAGGATATGAAGTCTAACTTCCTAACCTCTATTGACACATGTTTCATTGGAGGATTTTAGTTAACCAACCTATTAGGATTCTATTGGAAGATTATTAGGGTGACTCCTCTCAGAAAACCAATTCTAACTCACTAACCCTGCATTGGTACATCTTCCATGGGAGGGTTATAGTAGTCAACCTATAAGTATTCTACTAACTTCCATTGACATATATTCCATTGGAGGGTTATATTTAGTGATTCCACTTAGGACACCAATTCTAACTCTAACTACATTGGCATATGTTAGTCTACATACTAACTATCTCCACTAATATGTGTTCCATTGGAGGGTTATATTAGGTGACTCCTCCCAAGGATACCAATTTTAACCTCTAGCTCTCTAGCTCCCTAACTCCAACTAACTAACCCTAAGTGCTCTATACACCTCCAATGACATATGTTCCATTGGAGGGTGATAGTCATCAAATCTACAAGTATTATATAACCCTCTAATGACAGATGTTCCATTGAAGAGTTATAGGATATACAAGCATTATATAACCCTCCAATGATACATGTTCCATTGGAGGGTTATAGTTGTCAATATACAAGTGTTATATAACCCTCCAATGACACATGTTCCATTGGAGGGTTATAGTCATCAAACCTACAAGTATTATATAACCCTCCAATGACACATGTTCCATTGGAGGGCTATAGTTGTCAATATACAAGTGTTCTACATGCCTCCAATGACACATGTTCCATTGGAGGGTTATAGTCATCAAATCTACAAGTATTATATAACCCTCCAATGACACATGTTCCATTGGAGGGTTATAGTCATCAAACCTACAAGTATGATATAACCCTCTAATGACACATGTTCCATTGGAGGGTTATAGTTGTCAATATACAAGTGTTCTACATGCCTCCAATGACACATGTTCCATTGGAGGGTCATAGTCATCAAATCTACAAGTATTATATAACCCTCCAATGACACATGTTCCATTGGAGGGTTATAGTCATCAAATCTACAAGTATTATATAACCCTCCAATGACACATGTTCCATTGGAGGGTTATAGTCATCAAATCTACAAGTATTATATAACCCTCCAATGACACATGTTCCATTGGAGGGCTATAGTTGTCAATATACAAGTGTTATAGTCATCAAATCTACAAGTATTATATAACCCTCCAATGACACATGTTCCATTGGAGGGCTATAGTTGTCAATATACAAGTGTTATATAACCCTCCAATGACACATGTTCCATTGGAGGGTTATAGTCATCAAATCTACAAGTGTTCTACATGCCTCCAATGATACATGTTCCATTGGAGGGTTATAGTCATCAAATCTACAAGTATTATATAACCCTCCAATGACACATGTTCCATTGGAGGGTTATAGTCATCAAATCTACAAGTCTTATATAACCCTCCAATGACACATGTTCCATTGGAGGGTTATAGTCATCAAATCTACAAGTATTATATAACCCTCCAATGACACATGTTCCATTGGAGGGTTATAGTCATCAAATCTACAAGTGTTCTACATGCCTCCAATGATACATGTTCCATTGGAGGGTTATAGTCATCAAATCTACAAGTATTATATAACCCTCCAATGACACATGTTCCATTGGAGGGTTATAGTCATCAAATCTACAAGTCTTATATAACCCTCCAATGACACATGTTCCATTGGAGGGTTATAGTCATCAAATCTACAAGTATTATATAACCCTCCAATGACACATGTTCCATTGGAGGGTTATAGGATATACAAGCATTATATAACCCTCCAATGATACATGTTCCATTGGAGGGTTAGTTAGTTCAAACCCTGTAAACTAACCCCTCCTAACCTCAACCTATATACAAAAGTCCTATATAATGGGAAGAATATAGAATGTGGCAGACATCCACCTCTTTCTTCTCTCTTTTGAGACTGATTGACCTTGAACATCTCCAGTGCTGTCTTCACTACCCCTGTCATGATGCCTCCCTCCAAGCTCGAGTTTTTCAGCCTTCATCTGTCTTGTCTGACTTTAACTAGGACTCTTTCATAAGATTATGAAGCCCTCTGAACGCACTGGTAATTCTCAGTTTGTCCAAAAAATCATGTTCCAAAGTCGACCACCCTTGTCATGCTGCCTTTCCCTCCAAGAGCGATTTTTCTAGACTTCATATGACTCACAAGGCTTGATCTTGAACTTGTTTCTGAGGTTATTGAGCCATCTAAATTGAACGGGCAGGCCCATTTCTTGTGTAAAAATCATGTTCAAAAGTTGAACACCCCTGTCATGCTGCCTCACCCTCTAAGATCGATTTTTTTTCAGCCTTCACATGACCTGCCTGACTCAAGATAGGACTTGTTCTAGAAGTTATAAAGCCTCCTGAATCTGACAGCAGGATTTGTTTGGTGCGCAAAAATCATGTTCCAAAGTGATGAGCTATCAAGTACTCTTGTGCTGAGGCCTTCACCCAAAGTCGATTTTTTCAGCCTTTGTATGACTTGCATGGCTGGATCTCAGGCTTATTTCTGAAGACACAGACCAGTAGGAACAACAATTTGATATGTCAAAGTCATGTTGTTGTAAAGTTGCTCACCTATGGTCAAGTTGACCGCTTTTGCTTATGTAAGCAGTGTGATGCTGCCTCACCCAATGATTGATTTTTGAGCTTTCATATGACTTGCTTGGCTTCAAATAGAACTTGTTTCTGGGGTTATTGAGCCATCTGAATCAGATGGCAACACTGGTTTGGTCCGAAAAAATCATATTCCATAGTGATGCTACCCCCTCCCCCTAGCTACTGTGCCCAGAGGCATGATTCCATGTCAATACTGATGTATAAAAGAATGCTCCTAGTGTTTTTGGACCATGTTAATTGATTGGAGATGGTATCGGAGTCATCTGGGCCCATGTGAATTGTGATGTGTCAGTTGGCCTGATACCCCCCCACAAAGATCGATTTTTCTAGGCTTCCCATGACTTGTCAGTCCTTAAATAGTATTCTTCCTGGTGGTTTTTGATCCATCTGAACACGATGGTCAAGCCAGATTTGCCAGCAAAAATCATGTTCTTGAGATATGCAAGGTCTCCCTCCCCCTCCTATCTCATATATCTTGATATTGTGTGAAGACTGAGATGCAAAAGGATGTTCCTAGTGTTTTATGATCACAGAAAGTGATTGGAAATGATCCTGGAGTATTCCCGGCCTATCTGAATTGAAATATGTCAATTTGCCTCATACCCCCCTACAAAGATCGATTTTTACAGACTTCCCATGACTTGCTGGTGCTCCAAAAGCATTTTTCCTGGGGGTTCTCGATCCCCCTGAACACGATGGTCAAGCCAGATTTGCCAGAAAAAATCAGGTTCTTGAGATATGCTAGGTCCCCCTCCCCCCTCCTATCTCATATATCTTGATATTATGTAAATACCGATATATCAAAGGATGTTCCTAGTGTTTTATGATCACAGAAATCGATTGGAGATGATCCCAGAGTATTTCTAGCCTGTTTGAAATAAAATAGGTCAGTTTGCCTCATACCCCCCACAAAGATCGATTTTTACAGACTTCACATGACTTGCCAGTGCTCCAAAAGCATTTTTCCTGGGGGCTCTTGATCCCTCTGAACACGATGGTCGAGCCAGAATTCCCAGAAAAAATCGCATTCTTGAGATATACAAGGTCCTCCTCCTCCCTCCTACCTCCTATATTTTGCTTGTACTTGATTTTAACTTAAACCCGATACCGTAAAGGGCTGTCCTGGGGTTTTTCAAGCTTGGAAATCGATTGGTGATGGTCCCAGAGTATCTGGAGATCATTACTGGTGACATATGGTGGTAGGGCCAAAAAGTCAGTATTTTGACCATATCTCCACATCCCAACCGCCGTTTTCTGTAATTCTTGGCTCATATCATTCCTGGAAGTACCCTCTAAGATATGTACCAGCCCACAAAAAGAATTATTTTCACAAGTTTGAAATCTATTTCTGAAATGACCATATAAGTGCTCCAAAAGCATTTTTCCTGGGGGCTCTTGATCCCTCTGAACACGATGGTCGAGCCAGAATTCCCAGAAAAAATCGCATTCTTGAGATATACAAGGTCCTCCTCCTCCCTCCTACCTCCTATATTTTGCTGTACTTGATTTTAACTTAAACCCGATACCGTAAAGGGCTGTCCTGGGGTTTTTCAAGCTTGGAAATCGATTGGTGATGGTCCCAGAGTATCTGGAGATCATTACTGGTGACATATGGTGGTAGGGCCAAAAAGTCAGTATTTTGACCATATCTCCACATCCCAACCGCCGTTTTCTGTAATTCTTGGCTCATATCATTCCTGGAAGTACCCTCTAAGATATGTACCAGCCCACAAAAAGAATTATTTTCACAAGTTTGAAATCTATTTCTGAAATGACCATATAAATGCTTCGTCTTAAATTTGGATGATTGTTTGATCAATGTAGGTTCTTGAAAGCTTGATGTTGTAGCCGCGGGAAAGAATTACAATGTCACGATAGTAACGGACAGTCACAGTGACTGGCCAGTCCAATGCTCAATAGATTCGTGATCAATAAACTTCAACAACAATTGATTAGGATGTTACTTACGAAGTCAGGCCCAAGGCTTGAAGCTCCCAACTTATAGGGTCTGTCCATCAGAACCCTAAAATTGGTCCTCGAAAATGCAAAGTCGGACCAGATTGTGTATACAACAAATGGACTGAGCGTGAGGATATTTCCCTCAGGAATTATTGTTAAGTGCGTCCACCATGACATTGTTGATTGACCATCTTCGAGGGGGGTATCAAATGGGCACCAAAGTAGCATCGTATCCCGAGCGGGGCCAACGTCTCGAGAATCTTTCCTGGCGGCTTTGGCACTTGCAGTAATATAATATAGTAGACTATATTAAAGTCGGAGGGGGGCCAGACTGGAATATGAACCTTGAACACGATTGTCCATTGGTACGTTAGAGGAGGGAGATGTTACAACTGTAGGTACTTGCATATACTACATGAAACCAGCCTCTAATAACCTCAACCGCCTCATCTCCATGTTCCTCAAACGATTTTCCTCCTCCTCCTTCTCATTTCTGGCGGGAGGTTCTATAATCACCACCTCATCATCCTCATCCGTGGCCCTCTCCTTATCTGTGCGCACCCTCTTGGCGGCGCGAAGTTCTACAACCTCTACTCCGTGATCTCTGGCCCTCTTTGCTGGGATCATCAGCGGTGCCTTCTTGACGGTGCGAAGTTCTACAATCTCATCTTCATCGTCATCGTCATTTCTGGTGCTCTTCTTTGCTGGCTTCTTTGCTGGGTTCGGTGACTCCAACCTCTTGCAGCGGGCTTCCCACTCCGCCAACTTGGCCTGATCTATCTTGTGCGCCCTCTGGATGGCCTCGTCTCTCTCCCTCTTCCGGGCTTCCTCTGGACTCTCGGATGACCGTATGGGAATCTCTGGCCGCGTGTTGACTGGACTGTCATAACGAACTGTGTATCTCTTCCTCAGAGCTTTGTTGGGTTTTCTGTTGATACGCGGCGCCGCCGTCATCCTTCCGACTTTTCTGACTCTTGGTGGTGCGCCCTCGGTTGTGTTTGGTTTGGGTTTGATTTGGGGTCGCGCCATTGTAAGTTGTAGGAGACAAGGATTGCAAATCAAAAAATGGTGTGATGGTTGTAGGAGAAAGATAAAGACACAAGTATCTGCCTGTATTTGTAGTGAACTGGACACTGTGGTCGAACGGTCTTACGGGTGCTGGAAAAAAAATACCTGTGGTGAATATAAGTATCAATTAATCAATGACTAATGGCACACACCGAAAGGAAGTGGTATCACGGTCACTTGAAAAATTGCAAGTATGAGAACCTAGTACGAGTTCGAATTACCACACCCAAGTATATTACCCCCACCACGCACAACAGATAGCTTATGACGAGACTATGTCCAACATAGGGTCTATGACCCCAAAGGACCCCACTCTGAAGCTAAATGACTAAATGGGCAGCGTTGGTGCTGTTTCTAGGCTTTAGTTGCCGTCAACATCGAAAGAGGGCATAGACACACAGCAACAAAAGGCACCAGAAACTAAGTTGGGCATTCAGTTATCATTTTAGGCTACAGTGCATAGCTATACTCGCATGAACAGATCTTGGAAGAACCGTATGTCCCGTATGACGGGTACATACGACCATAAACTTACGGTGTCATATGGTACTCACATGCCCGTACACCGTAACCGTCAATGAGAGCTCTAAAGCCCCGACTGTATGGGTACGGTTCCCGTATTACGCCACCCTACATGCCCGTAATACGGCCCACGGTGGCCAGCCCTAACTCCTGTGGCCATACTGGCAACAACTTGTGTGTTGACGAAGTGGCACCCTTACATGGATTCCATTCTAGAAGAGTCTGATCTTCCCAGACCTTTCCACCACCCTTACGGAGCACGGTGGTGCGCTTTCCGCCCTTTGCAAGTTTCCCACCAGCGCCTCCACACTTGTCGATCATAGCCCCGGGAACATAGACACTCTGTTGCGCAAGTATGCCGACATCATATTTGTACGCATTCGCTGGAACAGGTGCGCTGTGGTTCGACGAAGATCCGGGAAAAGGATAGTGATCTGTAACTAATTTCATCTGAGAGAAGGGTGTATCCAGTTGTTGTCAAACAAAGAGATTCAGCAATGACAAGGAACAGTAGAAAGTTGTGCATCATTTGAACCAAATGGAATATTGATTCGACAAGATATGATCCATTCTTACTGTCAATAACAGATATGCGCCTATTCAGGCGAGGCGCGTGCGAACACGTGCGGGAAACGATGTCAGAGCAACAGCTCAAAGTCCTAACAAGGAACTGCGACACTGCGGACAGGTTGGGACGATAACGACGACAACAATTAATTAATCCAACGTGTTACTGCCAATGACAGATGTACGCCTATGAAGGCATGAAACACGTGAATACGATGTGAGAGCAACAGCTCAAAGGCTGGGCCAACAAGACGACGGCAACAGAACGATAAGACAAAAACCGATCCAACGTGCAACCGTCAACGACGGATATATGCCTATGAAGGCGCGAAACACGAAGAACACTATGCCAGGGCAATAGCTCAAAGCCCCAAGAAGGAGCTACGACGATGTGAACTGTTAAGTTGGGACGACAGCAACAGAGTGAGACAAGAATGAAATGAACAGCCAGATGAACAAACGCAATGTGAACCCTCACGTGACATTCCCACGACATTCTGGCGACACTTATGTCGAGGATTTTACGCCATTTTACGGTCACGTGATGCCGTCCACGTGACCTTTGGGTTCCGCCGGATTTCCCTTTTGGTCAACAACGCGCGGCTGCTCAGAAAATGTCACGCGGGGCGACAAGGCAAACAAATCGAATTGCAGACTCTCATCCTCAAACTAGTAGTAGTGCAAAGTTCGAACGTACGAAGACTGTTAATTACAGAGCGAAAACGGCAAAAACTACAAGCATCCATTGGATGGGAAGAAAAATACAGATCCAGTTCAAGTGCGGGATGCTCGTGACAGTGGATGGATGCCAGTTCAGACTTTTGGGAGGGGGAGGGTGCTAAGCCCGGATCGGGTGACAGCGAGTGGGATATGAGACTTGAACTCGGATACAAAGGATGAAGATCAGGCTCCGCTTGAGTGACTTAAACTGAAAGAAGTCGTGTTAGGTATAGAAAAATATGAACAGAACCATAAATGTACCGAGCATTAACCTCCATGACACAGTATTCCTTGGAATTGGGGTTAAGTGCATACTGAATGTTACACTCGCCGACAACACCGAGATCCCTGATGACCTTGATAGTAGCGCTGCGAAGCATGTGGTATTCGTCGTCCGGAAGAGTTTGAGATGGTGCAACAACAATCGAATCGCCAGTGTGTGTACTGAGAGGTACCGAGAGGATCGAAGTTCTCCATATTGCAGCAAACGATCGTATTCTAAGAGCATATGCACTCAACTTCAGAACGCACAACAAAGCAGAAATGAACCTACATGAGCGCCATCACGAGCAACTTCGTATTCGAGTCGCTTCCAGCCCTTCATACTCTGCTCAATCGAAAAAATCTGTAATCGACGACAGGCACTGTGATTGCGACACTGAGTGGGCAGCAAAGTAAATTTGAGCATTGAAACCTCACCTGAAGCCAATTCAGCAAGTCCTGTACAGGTGTAAGATGGGATGCATTGAAGGTCCGGCCCCGACAGTTTCATGAGCAGACAGTGCAGATTATGGAATCGATACAGGAAGCGGCTGAGGAACATGCCATCGCCGAGATTTTGAGCAAGAACGAGGAGAGCGGTGAGGAGGAGAGCATGAAGGAGGAGAGCGATTATGAGGAGTGTGAAGGAGGAGAGTGATTATGGGGAGAGCGTGAAGGAGGAGAGCGTGAAGGAGGAGAGTGTGAAGGAGGAGTAGAAGGATGAAGAGATGAAGTGGGCTGGTGTCAAGTTGAATGTCGACAGACTTTCGAATATAACCTTCTGCTTCGGAGGGACTGACATACCGCTCACGCAGCTCTGAGAAAAGAGTTGAACATTTGGACAGGGGTTGTTATCATGGCTTACTTCGTATTTGCATGTCATGAGCACTATCCAATTTGGCGAGCATCATTTCAATGGCCCCGACAGTTTCATGGTAGCGTTTTGCGCCATAAAGTGCCATACGCTTCAACTGATATCCAATATGAGATGAAGGGTTGAGTTTGGTATACTTGCCTCCGCAACTTGAAGACCGTTGGACGCGACAACCATGAGACAACTTGAGGCCGGGCGAGCCAGGTCGGTGAGTGGTTTCGGTGCTTGCGAGCGGTCCTGTAGGACAGGCACTAGTGTGGTGCGTCCTACAATGTGAAGGCGACGGAACGGGAGCTGCAGACCTGCACGAACTAACGGACGTGTCCTTCTAAGTACTAGAGACGCGTCGGGTTGCTGATGTGTCAGCGGGGTCACGTGCTTTAGTGTTTTACACGCCTGTGGTAAAATGAGGCAATAAAACCAACTTTATGATGTTATATTTATTATTTGGGCGTTTTGTCAATCGAGGGCTTAAGTTAGACTGGTGACCAGCCCCTCTATGAGACAAACCCTCGATAGAGGGACTGGTAAATCTGGGTTTGAATTTGGATAGTGCGCGCTTTGGAGTAATCACATGACCTGTAGCCAATAAGAAAACTGAAATTTTCGACATGAATATTTGAAATGTTGAAATTAATGTTTGATTCATATTGATGCGATGCAAACGCAGTCGCGTCATTAATGTATGTATCTACTCTACAACTCCAATGGACATGAACTCTATTATCCAAGCTGTGCGGGAAGCCTCGATGGAAGGACTCTAGATTCATTTGCTCGTTTGCTAATACAAGAACGGCTCCCTACCAACTATATCGAAACCCTCAGTGACAAGGATAAGATGGATGTGTTGCGCACTTGCCTGCTCGTGTACATCCTCACGGCTACAACCATTGTTCCACAAGTATTCCAGCTAGAAGCCATTCTTGCAACATTGAATGGCCGTGACAGCATAATTACAGCTGGTACAGGCTGCGGAAAGACCTTGTGTCTCATAATTCCTAATCTACTTCGTCCGGACACTATCAGTGTGACGATTTCACCTCTGAAACGTCTCCAGATCAGTGTCAATGAGCATCGAGAGGTCCCCGTCATCCCAGGACCATCCTTGAGACATTTTCCCCTTGAGAACAGGCACTTAGGACCAGTACTATCTCAGAAGAAGCCGAAGTTTGAATTCAAATCATAAATAGGGCTGTCCGAGTGCAACATGATGCTGCCCTGCAGCGGCCAGTGGAACAGAGCTGATCGCTGCCGGAGTCGATGAGCAATATTCACGTTCGGTATGTAATCGAGAACTTAGCAAAGATTTATCTAACTCCCGAAAAGGCTTTTCAGTCATGTGATTACTCCAAAGCGCACACTATCCAAATTCAAACCCAGATTTACCAGTCCCTCTATCGAGGGTTTGTCTCATAGAGGGGCTGGTCACCAGTCTAGGCTTAAGTGCGCGTTTTCGTCGATGATGATCGATGATCCTCCGCGTTTGTGAGGATGCTACCTTTTAAAATGTAACTACTGCTCACACCCACTCACGCGCAAAAAGGACTCCGCCTTGTGCTCGCACTTTGACGGCACTGGGGGCGACGACTCAGCCATGAGGGTTAGTATAACATGTTAGGTGTGTGTTTGTTGGACTAAGGATGCACAAGGCGTTGGTCAAGAGAGTAGTGGTGGATGACTTGCTACTGAATCGTGTCAAGTAGACTGTGGTCATGCTAATGTAGTCACGTCCTTCCAGTTGTCTGGCAATGCCCAATATTCCTGGTGAATCCACCTGCTTATCTTGAGTTATTTACAAGTGGGGCGCACAAGCCACTGCTTACCAAACAAGTTGCCTTAGGACACTCACAACCACATCAGCGATCTTAAGTTCCAAAAGTCATATCAGCATTTCTTACCACGGAGTCTAGCACTGGGCCGGAAAGCTCTTCCTGTGTTAAGAGAAGGTTCAACTGCACCCGCGCTGGTGCTCATGCGCCATAAGATTTGGCAGGCGCGCCGCCATAGGGTGACCAGTACTCCCTGGCCTCGAATATTAGTGAGCACAAAGGAACTGTGACTATCATGGAGGGCAGTTTGTAATTTCAGCGGTAGAACAAACTCTGATTGAGGCAAGGGGGTGATAGGGGGGGAGGGGGATGATGGAGGAGGTGGCCGTTTCGATCTTGTAGGCCTAGGTGGACTATTCAGGATGGTAACATTAGTTTCTTGCTAGTAATCATGCATCATCGGGGAATTATGTGGCCATAGGTCACCGAATGAGAAATCCATCCCCTCGTCATCATTGAGGGGGCCAAAGTAATCTGGCATGTCTTCATCCTTGTCGAGAAGAAAGTCAGAAGGGGAAGGCATGCTGTGCGATTGAAACTGAGGCTGCTGCATGTACTCCTCACGGTAGCCCATCTGATAGGGCTGAGGGACGTGACCGAATCCATATTGACTGCCAGTTTGAGTAAAGTAAGGAGGAGCTTTGGAGTGAGGAGGACGAGTGCCAGAAGGAGGATGAGTGCCGGAAGGGGAGTAATTCCTGGGAGGAGGATGAGTGCCAGAAGGGGAATAATCCCCAGGAGGATGATGAGCACCAGAAGGAGAATGAGCGCTGGAAGGAGGATAATAATCCCCAGCAGGAGGATAAGCGCCAGAAGGAGGAAGAGTGCCAGGGGCATAGCCATACTGAGCGCTTCCAGAATTCGGGCCATTAGAGTATGAACTTCCAGCTGAATGAGATATTGAGAAAAAATTGGCGGTGTGGTCCATTCCTGGGTGTGATGAAACTGTTTTGAGGGACAATGCCGGATTGCCCCTCAAAATGATAACGAGATCATCGTACCATGGAAATTCTTTGAGTACTTGCGCTGTGAAATTTCTCAGTTAGACAATCATAAATATAAAAGGGACACATACCACATAAATTCTGAGCGGTGTTTTTGTCCTGCAGCATGACACCAGCACCAGTGGCATGTAATCAATCGTGGCATTCACAATATTTCTTTTTGAGACTGTATATAGATGTTAGTACATAAGGGAAGGACTAGTGGGTAAACTTACGCCTGGATGTGATTGTTGGTAGAGTCACGGAATTTAACCAGTGCACTTAGATAGTGGTCTGCATAGTCACTGTCATCTTTAAAGACATGCTTGGCAATAATAGCACAGATTGAGAGCTTGTCTTTGGCTGAGGGGCAGCCATCATCAGGGTGCAATTGTTTGACTTTGGAGGGGAATAATACCTGACAATCAGCTGAGTGGTTGTGGAGGTAGTCAATGATGTTCTAGGTACGGAAGGAGGCAGATAACCATTGTATCTGAAACTTGGGCTGATCTGAGGTGTTAGTACTTTGCAAACCTCGAGACTTGCCACCCCTTCCATGAGTAACAGGCCCTGGCATTTGGTCCATGGAGGTTCTGTCTCGTTGAAAGGGCATCTGCAGTGCTATGAGTCTTGCAGAATGACGAGGACGTCATGGTTGAGTGGCAGGCATAACTTTCAAAGTCTGCTATGATGCTGAGTGTGCTGCATATCCAAGTGGCTGTTCTTGTAGTCCTTACCTGAGTTTTGTCAAACTTTAACCAAGAGTTAGCAAGCTTTGGTGATGTTTTAATTGCTACTCTGAGTGCCACTATTGGGCAATGTTCACAAATGAGGTTGGTGAAAACCTACACTTCATGATCCAGATATCAGGGTTGGTCATTAATTGACCCCATTTGCGCACATTTCTCAGATAACAGAAAATGTGCACAAATGAGGTTGCTACTGATGTGTGATTTCCACCAACCCTGTTTGCGCACATTTTCCAATATGTGAGAAATGTGCACACACAGGGTTGGTGGAAACTATCACTTTATGAGCAACCTCATTTGTGCACATTTCTCAGATATTAGAAAGTGTAGTTTTCCACCAACCCTGTTTGTGCACATTTCTCACATATTAGAAAATGTGCAGAGATGAGGTTGGTGAAAACTACACTTCATTAGCAACCTCATTTGCGCACATTTCTCAGATATCGGAAAATGTGCGCACATGGGATTGGTGAAAATCACACTTTCTAATATCTGAGAAATGTGCACAAACAGGGTTGGTCGATATCACACTTCATTAGCAACCTCATTTGTGCACATTTCTCACATATCGGAAAATGTGGGGAGATGAGGTTGGTGGAAATCACACATCAGTAGCAACCTCATGTGTGCACATTTCTCAGATATCGGAAAATGTGCACAAACAGGGTTGGTCGAAATCACACTTTATGAGCAACCCCATTTGCGCACATTTCTCACATATCGGAAAATGTGCACAAACAGGGTTGGTCGAAATCACACTTCATTAGCAACCTCATTTGTGCACATTTCTCACATATCGGAAAATGTGCGCAAATGGGGTTGCTAATGAAGTGTGATTTCGACCAACCCTGTTTGTGCACATTTCTCACATATAGGAAAATGTGCACAAATGAGGTCCAAGATGTTGAAAATGTGCAGAATTGATGACTTGAGGTAGCCATAACCATGCCTTAACCCATACTGATTTAACAAAATGTCCTTAGAATCACCGGCATCGATATCTCTGGGGACAGCACGTTACTGGCAGGAGGACATCCAGGAAATGGACACTCTGGGGCCAAAATCTGCGGCAGACTCTGGGGCCAAAATCTGCGGCAGACTCTGGGGCCAAAGTCTGGGGCTCTGTTTGTTTCAATCGGAGTTTCAACATCATGGCCGTCAGCCACATCGATGCGATCTCTGTCAGCCACCACCACAGCCACCCCGCCATTACCACACCGACGTGATCTCTGTCACTCACCACTATGTCAATATCAGCCATGATGCCACCTGACCTGGATATCAGCAAGCTGTTGACCTCACTCCAAGGGCATCCAACACTCGCCCATATCTCATTTGTTGACCTTGCGAGTTTCATGCGCCGTGCTAACTTACTAAAGGACGATATCCTCCAGCCACAGCCACATAATGTCTCCATCATGCATCCCCCTGATGTTCTCTCGCAGAGTACAATACTGACTCATTCGACTGGTAACGTGATCCAATGGAAAGACCTCGCTGGTGGCCGCTGAGTCTATCCTTGGACAGGGGCAATGATTGAATTTGTTTAATTAAATTTTCCACTTTTTTCACGGTTATGCATACTACCTCGGTGGTCCACTCCTGCAACGCCGCACTGCATGCCACCGATTTCGGGTAGAAAAAACTTCTAAAAACCCTTAGCGACTGAGCCTTTCATGTTTCACTGACAATCTCAGCACACCTTTTATTTGTCTAGACATCAGTGAGATATTTCAGTCGTGTCCATGTCAGGTACGTCCACGGATCCCCGAATACAACCTTGTGATACTTGACCAGGAAGTACTTGAACGTGCTTTTCAGAACCGGGAATTACTACTAATCCATTGGAGGATGATGAACACCTTCATCAACGAGAAGACATCCCAAGACGCCTCAAGCCGAGATGCAGTCATACACGAAAGGGGTAGATAGATTGCGAATTTTCAGGCGAGATGAGGCAAATGAATTCAGACTCCAAAGTCAAGTTACTGGTGCGGCAGCCGAGCAAGATGGATTGTCCGTTGGTAGGTGCAATAGGTGTATAGTTACAACTGAGTATGAAACGAAAAGGTTGTAATTTCAAGTACAATAAGGTAGCCATTAGTCCAGCTAAGGCTCGAGATGAATATCAACTTCAAGATGATTGTTTCCTAGTTCTAACTTCAAAGCGTCGGCCTTTCGTTCGACAGTCGCGCGCAAACAGCCTTCGAGGGAATGGAGGCACTAAGTAGCTCGTTGACTATTTTTGAAGAGCCCCGCTCGTGGTTGTTTGACGATTATCAACTCCTTAATGCCCAATTGGACACGTGGATCGATTCCTTTGGTCCGTAGGACCATGTTATGCTCTATGGAATAATCCAAGAGCGCACTGATGCGAGCTATACAAATGGTGAAAAGGAAATCAAACGCAATAACAACCAATGCTTACTGTTCATGTAAGTAGGGAACGCGGACCTCCTCCGCCTGATCCAGACAAGCATTTTAAAATATGCCGCTTTGTACGGCACATTTTCCTCTGAACAAATCACGAGCAGGGTCGCGCCAATGCTACAATTGACAGTGGCATATGCAATCTTTATTACCTAGGGCATCAGTGGAAGAGCCTGCTAGAATTGAAATCATATTTACCTCCGTAAGAGAGATGATCTGCACGGAAATATTATCATCAGTTGACTATAAGAGATGATTAATAACAGAGACAGGACCTTGTGGGCATAGTGGCGAATTTGCCGGTCTTCCGCATCACTAAACTTCATAATCTCAGTCATGGCGTCCAGATAATGGTCCAGAGACTCAAGACGAGTAGCCAGTCTTCTAAAGACTCCCCAACGATAGAGATTAGGGACGTTGTTAGGCATGAGGATTAATAGTAGAAAGTAGGTGAGTATATGGAGAGATGCAAAGTGATGGAGAGAAGAGAGACACTGCCAACACGAAATATATAGTGAGCTACGGTGGATTCCATGGACTCTGGCAGTGGAACGTCTTTGTGGCATCATTGTCCTTCGTTGGCACATTTACTTCACTCCGGAGTCTCAGCACCATCAGTCACAGTTCCTAAAATGGGAAACACAAAATGTGGAAGGTGTGGACGGCGAGACATTGATTGCGAGCCACAAGATGCGTAAACCAGAGATGTAATAAGGATCCACCTGTTTGAAGGGGCTCCAAGATTTTACCACGTTCGAACGCGTGGCTTGGATGCGGGTGTAGGTGGGTACGATCGATTTGAAAGGGTGTCATACAATCACTTCATGAGTTCATAGTCCTTCCACAAGTTCGGGAGAATGAGAGACGTCTGCTTCCTCGTCGCGTTCGCGTTGCCCTGTTGGTATGTACGCCTTCGCAACATGACTCCACGAACCCCACTTGAGACCTTTCGTAAGAAAATCAAAGGAGATGCGAAGGTGTTTGAGTTACTGCAAGCATTCGTGTATCACCAAGTATTTCGATAACATGGAGCATACATCGAGAAACTCAGTGGTACAACATGCTTGGCATGAGGAATGTTCCATCAGCCACGCTGCAGTAGCCTGCGAAATGCTTCTGTGCTTATCAACGATGTCAGCGCTAAGAATGTGGCACATACGAGTTTACATCTCAACTTGAGGCCGTAGGTGATGCCGCCGTCTGTAGTTCCTTGTGCTTCGAAGTTGACAGATATTGTTCGTAGTTCATAAGGTTTGTGACCGTCGCTGAGCATTGAGTAGTTCGATACGGGAGGACTGAATGTCAATGCGTTACAGGTTATGGTGGGACGAAGTAAACTGGGCGCACCATGCACCATGGTCAAGTGACAAGGAACCTGTTTTCAAAAGTCTCGCGCAAAATTGTACATCTGTTGTCTTATCTTAGATTACATTTAATTGATTCTGTCTTTCAGAAGCATGCGAGCCATTTCTTACCAGCATTGCGTCCGGCCTTTTGCCATGATCTCCTGTAAGAGACGTCCGAGCGCGTTCTGTCTTTTTTCTCCGTAGATTACAGGAAGGTGGACGCCGAAGATCCCAAACAGCGTCTTCTTGCAACGTGGTGACACGCGTTGATGCCCATTGCGGTTTCTCTTGGGCATTTCTCATCACCGGGCGGAAGGCGACGAGCGCCCGCGCATTTATGCCAGTTGAACGTTCCAACTCCTGCGTGATAGCGACAGACTCCCTGTGGTTGCGGGAGCGGTCGTCGAGATATAGGGTCCAATCCGCTTGGCTGTAGAGAGCAATTTTAGGAGCGAGGAACTCCTGAACGGTCCATCATTGCATGTTCCAAATGCTATTTGCGAGCGCGCCAGATTCCGACGAAGGAGGAACATCTGATAGGTAGACGACGGTGAGCGCTGAGTAGTGATACTAGATGAACATGGAGTTGACTGATTCTTGGAGTTCGATGATGTTATACTGGTCGATGCAGCACGTATCGCTGCACGCCCAGCGATACCTTGCGTCGCGAGCGACTTTGCAGAACTTCTGCAACTTCACAACGGATCCAAGTCGTATATGTCCCTGCCTTGAATGTCATGCAGTAGCGGCTCCTTGGTTTCCCACCTGTGGGATAACATGACCCAATCGAAGTACTTCGCGACCGCTTCTTTGATGGGCTCCGCTCGGAGGGGCCCATGCATTACTGATGGAAACAAAAGCTCTTTGTACTCTGTACTCTCCGTGAAGCCGTTGATCTGTGCATTTCGATCACATATATTCCCAGTGATGGTGTTGATTAGACGAAGTGGAGCGTTTTCCAGTTGAGCGTGCATGGCTCGTCGAATAGTATCTTCTACTTCAAATGGACTGACGTATTGCTGGCGTAGCTCTGCGAAGAATGTAAGTCATCTTCAAGTCGGCGCTCGAGTTGTTTGGGGCTTACGTCGTATCCGTGAGCCGAATGCATTGTCCAACTTGAAGAGCATTATCTTGAAGGCCTCGAACGCATCATCATGTGTTGTGCTCCATGAAGAGCTGCATGGTTCAGTTCGTACCAGAGATAAGACGAAGGGTTGAGTTCAATGACCTACGAACATCATCACAAATATTAAAACAACGACGGATATCGTCCTCACCTTGTTTGCGTCCTCAGGGCCTCCAAGACGAGCCTCGCGAGGCGTGAAGGTGAATTCCTTTTCATGGACAGACTATCACATAAAAGGGAAGTTTCGGCACAACGAGTGGACCTAGTTAATTTAAGATAGACCTCCGAGAATCTATATGCAGGTTTCGAACCAACTCCAAGGGAAACAGATTTTGACTCTGGACAATCGTGTAACGTTCAGTGGCCGCGTCGCGCTCGAGGTTCCGAGCCGTGTTCTCGGCAAGCGCAGCAAGGTCCTACGTCCAGATCGCAGGGGTGTAAATGTCACCTCGTGAGATTGCGGTCTCTTGATAGTCCGACGTGATATAGACACGCAGGACTGGAGTGGACTATGACGTGACTTGACTGCCATCTCTGCGTTTTATACTGTGACCCATGAGCGCTCTGAAGGAGACATAGAGGAAAGGTGACATACCCAACATCGTTGAAGTAGAGTGCGGGCGCGGGCATCAAGTCTCCTCTCCTTTGTTCATAAAGCTTGGAGGTGGACAATACGCTCACGGACCTAGAACATTATGCGGACGGCCTAATGGTCCATTAGACCACTTCACCGAGTTCCATTTTTTTCGTCCCATTCCTTCCACATTTTATTACAGCAGTTACCAACAATAATGAGATTCGTCATTTTTTTTTCACGCGCGTCCGAATTTGGAAAACCGCCTATTTCAGATGTATCTAGTCTCCCTATCGCAAAACTACCATCATCTAGATATCTTATGCACAAGGCATGTCGCAAACACCTTCCGAAGATAGTATTGTCATGCTGGAGTCCGAGGATGAACACGATCAGCTCCTCTCCGATAGTCTGCACACTGCTTCGGAACCTTCTGAGTGTCTGCTACGTTGGTGCTATGAGTTGGCATAGTACTTATCCAAGATATGAGCTGCCATGAATTTTACATTTATCAACGAGTTTGCACCCAATGACTCGGAGGAGCTTGTAGTCGACAATCCACGGCCGACGAAGGCTGCCAACAGGCTCCAGATAGGTTGTAAGCGAAAGGCCAATGTTCCTTCAACAGGTGAAGACGAAGGTGACCAGGTACAAGTTCCAAACAGCAAATCCAAGGGTGCGAAGGCGAAAAAAGCTAAGACAGGCCGAGGATCACGCAATAAACTGGCCGTCTTTGAATCCGATGACGAGGACCATCAACCGCAGTCCTTGTCTGTGCGAGCTTATCTCCACCTAAATGCTGATGTCGTGTGTCAAAGCCAGCCATGTCACAACTTCGTCGAGGTAGAGGTCTGATTCTTCAGCAAACAAGGCCTCACAGGCCGTCATGAGAGCACGGGTGAGGATATGAAGCTGCTGGCCACGTATTGGCGAAGGGGGATGGTTGACAGCACCATACTCTGCAAAAATTGCTTCCCAGTGGTAAATGCTAGCGCGGGAGACTCCCAGAGCATCGCGAATATCCTTGGTTTCCCAGCCTGTGTTCCAGAGGTTTAGCGCACATTCTTTGAGATCAGCACTGATTTTACGATTGCCCATGGCTAGAATATGTTGTTATCACGATGAACGACAAGAATAAGACATAACAGCTGTAAGACATCTTTACCTCATCTTGTAGCCCTTGAAAATCAGAACCTCCCGCGAGAAATCCCGGTTCCTTAATGTTGTGTAATGGTTGAGTAATTGTTGACTTCAGGTACCGTGTCAATCTTAATTTCTCACAACCACTGCACCTCCTTCTTCCATTTTTTCTTTCCTCACCACGATCCCCGGAGGACCTGACACATCCTGGGCTGCGAAAGTCGCAGCCCACGATGCTCCCGCACCAAGAATTTTGTCAAACGGATCAGTATTTCCCGAGGTATACCCTCAACACTGACTTAGGGTGGCTCAGGGGGCGAGGGGGATGTAATCCCATCATATCTTTTTTCAATTTCACCAACTGACCTCAACCTTTTGTCATCCTACTCTACAGATATACAGCTCGCTCCCGCTTCATTCCGTTCATCTCCCGGGTCAAAACTGCTGGAGCTATGCACCAAAACTTCACTCTGGCTGGCTTAGGGAGGGAGGAGGAGGTAATCCACCCATAACTTTTTTTCGTTATACTTTCTGACCTCGACATTTTGTCATCCTACTCTACAGTCTTACAGCTAGCTCCCGCGCTATCTACTTCGTCTCCCGGCTCAAAACTGCCCCAGCTATACTTGAAATTCGCACTCTGGGTGACTTAGGAGGGGAGGAGGAGGTAATCCACCCTTAACTTTGCTTCATCGCACTTTCTGACCTCGACCCTCTGTGATCCTACTCTCCAGTCTCGCAGCTGGCTCCCGCGCCATCTACTTCGTCTCCCGGCTCAAAACTGCCCGAGCTAGACCTGAAATTCGCACCCTGGGTGGCTTAGGAGGGGAGGAGGAGGTAATCCCATCACCACTTTTTTCCATTGCACCAGCTGACCTAAATATTTTGTCATAATATTCTACACACTAATAGCTAGCTCCCGCTCCAATTTGTTTGTCTCCCGGCTCAAAATTGATCGAGCTATACCTGAAAAGATCACCCTAGGTGGATTAGGAGGGGAGGAGCAAGTCATTCAGCTATATCTTTTTTCCGCTGCACTGGCTGACCTCAAACAATTTTCATTCTACTCTACGTATTTACAGCTCGCTCCCGCACTAGTTTGTTTATCTCCCGGCTCCATAGTGCTCGACTTACACCATCTGTTCCACTCGAAGCTCAGTGCCGTCACAACTTGTCACGCCACACTCACTCCCACTTCAAACTTTGTCGAGCACTTCAACATCGAGTTCTCATACGAGGTGCTTGGTCCGAACTTGTAGCTCGGTGTGTGTCACTTCTCGACTTATCTTCTTTGATTCAATTCTTCATGTTTGCAGACTGTCTTCAAACTTTGTCTTCGAACTTTGTCTTAGGAGGACCTCCGCATTCCTGCGCTACTGTCTATCAAATAATCAATGAAGACCCTTTCTAAGGCACTCGTCTCTTGCAATAATGTTCCTTTTGTTTCCCGTATCGAGACTCGTCAAAATATGCCCTCCTTCCCCAACTCGCACCTCTGTCTAGCAACATTCTCACTGCATTGACTTATGATACCCTTCGTTGTGCACACAATTGTATATAGCTCAAAATCAATATATTTGTTTTGATAACAACTACATGGCACTCAGAGACACAGACGGCAATAAGAAATGTATGGTAGCGAGAGACGAGGCGAGAGCATATAGCGAGGGAGGTGACGAGAGAGGGAAACACGCGAAACAAAGTGCAGCTTGGTGAAGCTAGCGCGGCGAGTCGAAAGAGATGATGACCTAGGATGAAAGGACGTACAGTAAACACGACAGAAAAAGACTACGAACCATTCAAAAGCAAGCCTTCCATTCAAATATAGACCTGTTCTCCCCACCCTCCTCTCGTGGCCCACTCCCGCTGTTAATGTTCAGAGCGAGTAGGTCCGTCTCGAGTTTCTCACATAGGGCATGTTGCTTGGCGAGTTTTGCATGCGTGTCTGCGAGTTCGTTCATCCTGTATGAAGTCTCAGCGTCTGGTGTTCACTTCGAAGATCTTGAACATAGCTACTTACAGTTAACCAATAAAATCGTCGACGAGGCCTTCATACGTGAGTTGGTTCAGAAGGAGTGTGATCATATCAACGGCGCGAGCCATAATGATGAGTGAGTCAAACGTGCAGAGGTGTTTGACGAGGGAGAAGGTTGATCAAGTAGCGATATCGCAAGAAGGGTTGCCAGCCGCTGTATAGAATGAATTAATGTGGAGATATGCAGGAGTATGGAGGCGCTTACCGAAGCATAGTCTCCCTTTCCTGATATGCGGGGGAAGCGTCCATACATCTTCTGCAACGAGATGAGTGCTAATGCAGAGTTGTATAAAGAAATACCTTCAGAAGTGCGACATCTGTAACCAGCAAGATGAAAGCACCGTAATGATGCGGAAAGAAGGGAGTGGAGGATGGCAAGCAGTACAGCCGACCCTGACGCTTGAAGTCGCGCAGACTCTGCAGAGCGGCGAGCAGCAATTGTTTTCTTGCATTGTCGTGAAGTTACTGGAGAGTTAGGGCAATAAGAGCGAACACGTGCTGCGGGAGGCTGAGATTTGGTTTGGAGACCCGCCGAATTACGGCGTGAAACGCTAAGACGGTTCGGACGAGAAGGAACGAGACAAGATTGAAGAGCAATGTGGTAGTACTCGAGTTCGAGATAAACAATGGACAGTGCTTGGACGGTGCGGTGGTTACTGGTCAGTGGTAAGTATCAGCATAAGGAAAACGGAACAGTCACGTGGTTCGATTTAGTAAGCAACAGACTTACATTGGCGTCTCTGAAGTATGTCTCTGAAGTATACACCAGCTCACAGTGTGCAGCATTCCAGTTACTGACGGATACAACAGAGATATGAGCTACCTATCTAGTGAGTTATTTTGAAAGCAGTTGACGCGTTGCACTGACCTTGACTTCAGCGTCACCGAAAATGGATTCGCTATCAAGGATGAGCATTCGAAGTCGATTGAGGAAGCGTTGCAGGACAACGATCGTATGAACTACTTCAAGAGTATCACCGCTTCTATCAAGGCTGCTGTGCTTGAGCATGGAGTCGACGTCAGAGCTTATTTCCCGTGGAGGTATGTGTGATTATCATTTGTAATCGAATTTCCTAATCGCCTTCCTTCCTGCATACACCAGAGGCCGACGTCACGATCCTGGAAAGAAGAGAAAGACCACGAAACGGAGAACGGTCAACCACGCGTGCCTCTGTTGTTGACGCAAGCATATGACTTGCGACGAAGGCAGACCCTGCCAACGCTGGTGAGCACCCACGTATATCATGATTATTTATTCTTATGCTGAGATCGTTTTGCGCAGAGCCTATCTATGGCTCGTCCATGCCTCCTCCAGCGACAGCCGCATGGCCAATGAGTGCTCCGTCAAGCGCATATCTCTATCAGCCCGAAACGTTGGGCTACGAATTTTCAGTCCTCACGTATGTCATTTTATGTTCACTCCGTTATGCGCCCCACTCAGTTATTTCAGTGGCTTCTTGGAAACCCTAGACGAGGGGTCTTTCTTCACCACATCTCCAGCAGTGACACCCTCCCTCATGCCTACGCCCACATTCTCTCAGCCTACTTCCTGGATCTCAAATGCTGCTTCTGCTGCTGAAGCGACATCAAATCCTCCAGCACATCCCCCTGAGGCACCCGCTGAAGAGCCTGCACCCCTACTTCTACCGTCTGCTACCAAGGCAGAAATTTTTTTGTTGACTGCTGCAGATCAGGAGTCAGGCACTCGCGATGAACGACTGAGCCGTGTTATTCGGAGCAAACACGAGGCGGGGCTGCTCAAACCGGATGATTATGTCAAGGGCTATGCACGACTGTCAAGGTGGATGGATCGCAAGTACGTCAATATGTCTTCTTGTTGAGACAATGATTTGACACTTGTTTATTCCAAGTGTCTCTCGACCATTGAAGCAGCAAATTCTGCAACCGTTGTCGGTGCTGCGACCCAAATTCCGAGTGAGTGAGGATCTTTTATGGTATTTACTAACGTTGCTGATCACACATAGGCTGTTGCGCAATCCTTACGCGATATCGTGAGCTTGAGTCCTTACTGATGCAGTTTTGGGATTGACCATGTTACAAGGACCTCGTATTCATAGAAGAGGCTTTCGAGCGATTACTTCTTGATTACGACCGTGTCTTCTCAGCCATAGGCGTCCCAGCGTGTCTCTGGCGCCGAACGGGTGAGATATATAAAGGAAACCGCGAGTTTTCAGAACTCGTGGGTGTCGATGGGTACATGATGTGAGACGTAAGCTGCCTCGATGTGACTATGATTATTTGCAAGGATTTATGTCTTCTATGCAGGGCCGCCTCTGTATCTACGAGCTTATGGCAGAAGGGTCAGCAGTCAATTATTGGGAGGTGAGTCTCGTTTATCGTAACACGCTTCGACTTTTCACCTCGTATGCTAGAAATACGGCCATGTTGCATTTGACTCTTCCCAAACATACCTCGACCTTGACATCCCCGTCAATATTTTTCAGCATGCCCTAGACTTGCGTCCCACTGGTCATCCGGACCGACCCATCACCCAGCTCCATCTTGCCATGGCTCTGCTCCCTCGCTTCGTGAAACGGGGATTTCAAATGGATGCTGACGAGGCTGAAGAGTTGCTGAACGAAGTCCTCGATGCTGCCACGCCAACAGCCACATTTACAGATCAGTTTTGCTTGCAATCGAAACATCCACCCTGCATCTGGCTGGACGCACTGCTGCAGCTGATCTTGGGCAGGAGCGCCCTGTGGCATCCATACTTCCGTTGTCGTCAGATCAACTCACCCATCAAGCAGAGCGGTGTTTGCCAGATTCACGATATCCCAAAGATTGACATAGATATCACGAAGCTGACGCCACTTTTGCATGAAGTAATATCAAAACAGGTGCGCAACCAGCTTTCCTTCATCTGCGGTAGCTCATCAACCGCGTTCCTCTTAAGCTACAATTATCTTGGGTAAAATCGCGCTACTCACGTGATTATTGCACACAGCGTCACACACTGGGAAAGTAAGTCGTAGTCCAGTTCATTGCTCCTCAAAATTGACATTCTGGCTCTTCCTCCTCCATCAAGGCCCCAAGACGCGGTTCTGGTTTGATACTTGGGAATTCCGAGTTTGGTTACTTACGCCTCCAACTTCGGTTCCTACACCTCTTCCAGCGGTTGGCCCACCCGTGAACCCACACCTCCAGCTGCTACAGATGCTCCTTCAAAAGCACTGTGCGCACTGCAGCATCTGCAGCATCTCGTTCACAGGCTTCAGCACCTCCAGCACCTCCATCGCAAGATTCTCGTGCACCACCGACTCCCCCTGTACCATCAACTCTTCCTGCACCTACTCTCCCTGCACAGACACCTGGCCCTGCAACAACTACAGGTTACTTTGACCTTTCAGTTCCTCGCGCATCGTCTCCGCTGGATGAGCATGTAGATGCAGTCAGCTGTTGAACATATCAAGTAGCTCCCATTTATCTTCTCCCTCAATCCACTGCCTGCGGTTCGACCGCGACATCGACAGCGCCACCACATTCGGATACGGTCCCTAGTATGTCAACATTTTTCTTCCTCTGTCAATGTCGACTGAAACTTTCCTCGCAGTGACTCGCCAAGATATGGATCACACCAAAAACCTCGTACTTGATCTCCTAGGCTGGGGCGTATCTCCCGAATACCTGGTCAAGGCTGGTGTATCGGCTGGTGTATTATACAGGGTGTTTACTGATATCAATTTCCATCTTCCAACAAACCTTGTTCTCCCTCCCACTCGGCCCTTGACGCCTTCTGGTATACGATATGAATTGCATGAATTTCAATCGACTGACTTTGCCTTGGCTCGCTTAACCTTTGTGTGCGTCGTGGCTACTGGTATGTTTCATTATTGTTACCGCTGCCATCATGCAATGACGTGTTTTACAGCGAGTTTCCAGATCGAAGGATCTGCTAATGTCGATGGACGCGGAAAGTCTATCTGGGACGACTTCTCCAAGCAACCTGGAAAGACAATGGACGGCATCTCCAGCAGTGACACCCTCCCTCATGCCTACGCCCACATTCTCTCAGGCTATTCCCTATATCTCAAGTCCTGCCTCTGCTACTGAAGCGACATCGAATCCTCCAGCACATCCTCCTAGTGCACCCACTGAAGAGCTTGTACACGTTTCAGGGACAAGGTGTGTTTCTAATCTATTGTTTCGTTGTTGGGGTGCTGATCAGGTTGCGCTCAAGTTTGCCATCCACCTCTGTGCTAACTCGACGCTTCTTCGGATCGTGGACCGGTTCCACGACGATATTTTCTCAGACCTAAATTCGCCGACCAGTTTGAACAAGGTTTGGACCCTTCATTCACGTCTATTTCGCTACTAAACTGGTATTGCAGGGTATTGCCTTGCCTTAGATCCTGGAAGTGTATTCCGCTGTACTCTGCTACCCTTGTAAGTTTTGTGTTTTGATCTTTGGTGTGATTAGCTGATGTGCGTCCTCTAGCTTGGTCAGTTATTCACGTCTTGTCGTGTACTCTTTTGGATTCCAACACGCCTTTAACGAGACATGGAGGCGAGTGACAATGTCTTCCTTGACACGGTCGGTACTTACCTTACCTGGCAAAAAGATCAAATCCCTTGACTACACCTTCCCCGACGACAGGTCAATCCTCCTCCTACCATCCGAACGTGTCGTGTCCTCTTCCATACGCGCATCAAAGCTCGGTCGCCGAAACGGCGTGGTAGCAAACTGCGTCTCCGATTAGCGCTAGCCTCACGAAGACGAAGATACGGCAACTGGTGCTTACCAGCATGCGGCTATTGTGCATGAAGCAGAAGGAGGGCGGTCAAGTGAGTTTGAAGAGCGAGGTCGGTCTAGGCTTGTCAGGGGCGGGAGATAAGGGCAAGGAGTGAGAGAAGCCAAGGGAAGGGAAGGAGAAGGAGCGAGACGCAGCCAAGGACGGACGAAATGTGATCGAGAGCGCAGAGCCGAAAGGCGAGCGAGAGTTTGTTTTCTTGACAGTCAGTTGTTTTCCTCCACTCCTGCTCTGGTGTTTATACTGCTAATGCTTATATTCTTGTAATGCACGCTGTGCAGTCTACGAAATACAACATCATTTCCGAAACATAGCAATTTCACAACTTCTAAGTCAGCCCCTCGTACAACAAATTTTGTGCTAAAACGAGTGCATGCACGAGTGACTGAAAGAAAGAAAATCACGGCAAATGCTGCTGTGTGCGACCGAACCCAAATGACCTCGCAATATACAATCATGCCGGGAGCCGCTGCTGCTGCAATCTTTTCTCCATTCGACGCACACCAATGTCCGCGCCCAAAGTCTATGTGCGGCTCTTTTGTTCTGCAGACTTTGAATGTTCATTAGTAAAGTAGTGTTTCAAGTTCAACGGGTACCTACATATCTAGTACTTTCGCTGAGCGCTGCTCGCAATTCATTAATTTCTGTTTGCATTCGGTCTCGTTCCGCTTGTCCTTGTGCCGCAAGTTGTGCGAGACCTTGCTCCAGTCGGTCTCGTTCCGCTTGTCCTTGTGCGAGACCTTGCTCCATACCGGACGTGTAGAGCTGAAAAAAAATGATGTATCACCATCAAGTGAGGGCGGTGACAGAAGAGTTACTACTACCTGTCGCTCTTTAGCTTCATCTGCCTTTCTCTTTAGTTCCTCCTCTTCATTCTCTATATTCCTCCATCTCACACCGTAATCTCTGCACACAGCCTCCACGCTATCAGCCTTCCGGATAGCAAGCCCACAGTAGTGAGCGCGCTGGTCAATGGGAGTGTTGTGCGTTTCGATGCAATCCGGGAAGAGCTTTTTCAAAGTCTCCCACACGGTGAATGCAAACCAGTAACACTGGTTCTGGTATAGGTGGTAGTTCGGTGCTTGTTCATTCACCACAGACAAGAGGATTGATATCTGCGCTGCCGACGGACATGCCAGAGGAGGGAAGTCAAGCGTATGAAGTTGGGTAAACGGAGTGTAGGCGTCCGCAAGGTACTGCGGAAATGTCGAACCCTGGCTAGAAGTATATACAGCATCTTGGGCAGCAGTTTCAGAAGCTGAAGGGTAGATTAAATTGGACTTATGGATGAGTTTTGACGAGGAATTGTCGCTGGGGTCCTGCTTAGGAACACGTTCTATGACCACAGTAGCAACTGCGGACTCAGAATTCCAATGACGAAAATGCAAGAGTAGAAACTCGTGCTGTTTGTAACGGTTGCATTTACAATATGTGGCCCGTTTGAGCCTACATTGTAGGGAAAGATGGGTAGACATGAGCAGTGTCTGCCATGCTGCCACATCGGTACGGCTCTCCACCAAAACGAAAAGCCCAGGAACGTCAGTAGGAGAATCTGACATGAATGGACGAAGAAGTGTGGCGAAGAAAGCTTGAAGGCTGAAACGAGTTTTTAAGTCTTGCTTCATGACGAGTTGACAAGGGTTGTCTGCTGAACAGGTGTCTGGATGCACGGCAGTTTCATTCTATGTATAGTGTGGATTGCTGATAAGTACTGAAGTACTGACGTCGATGATACCGAATGGAGAAAGACGGCAATGTGTTCAGCCCCCATCTTTTGTCATCATGGGTACTTCACCGCATCCACTCGTTAGGCATGGGGTATGTCGTCAACTACATGACATATTTCAAGTTTTGACAACAATACACTAGGCGGTTATGCATTCATCACGAATATGATTCCTCTGTCCATTCTCACCGGCCATCGACGTGGAGTGTTCTCCGAGTCTGCATGCTCTGACAGCGCTATTTGGCGAATCGACTCTCGTTGACCTACAGTCTTGGTTGGAAAGGCAGCTGATTTGCACTTACATTTGCTTACATTGGATGTTCCCCGATTCGAGGCGCGTTGAATTGATTTTGTCTCTGTATGCGTCACACCGTTGGAGTCCAATGGTACTAGTGCTAGTGACTGGGCCAATTCCCTGTCGGTTTGGGGTTTAAGCTGGGTGAGGAGCTAAAGGGACCTAAATTCATTAAATTCACGAAATACATCGACCAAATACTGGAGCGTCCGAGCTTGAATCAAACCTACGATAAAGTGCGTATTTTCCCGCTACCGTGGTAGTAAGTCAAAATGACTTATTGCTATACTGCGTTTAGAAGGGTGTGATCACATACTTCAAGGCGTTTTTGGTGCGCGCGCAGTGAACATATACCTATACTTGATAAAAGATAGTTAGTTTTGTACGCCAAAGCTTACTCGCTGTTAGAAATTTGCAGTACATCCAGGTGAATAATAGACAAATTATACAATTAACAATCGGCAAGAAAAGCTGTGCGACAATGACGATAAAGATACATTGAAAACTTACATGAGCATACAAACTAGTCGTCCATCTCATCTCCGCTCTCATCATCGCTGTCGCTGTCCTCGCCCTCTGCAACATCAATAGGATCCAAACTCAGATCATGATCTGCGCCAATGTACGCATCACAGATGACATAGAGTTTCAAAGCGTGGGTGCCTTTCGGTAGCGTGAACTCCAATTTCACCGAGAGATTCTTGGTGACGGTGACGCGCTTGATTGATAGCAGCTGTTTTGTGCTCGGTTCCCTAACCACAAGCCACCAGTTTGCTATCTTTTTGGTCGGGTAGAAAGGTGCGACAACAGTCTGATCATCAGGATCCTCTTCACTCCATCGTGGGCAAGATTAACCTGCATGGTGATGGGTGCACCAGCAGTATATTCTCCCTTGTCAAGCTTGAAGGACACGTCAAGGGTCGGGTATGAGTTGACGAATGTCGCTACATTGCGCCTAGAAATGTTGTTAGAAACAGTTGAAATGGATACGTAGGCATCGGTGCTGGTACGTGCGCAGGATTTGCTACAACATGGAGATCCGTTCAATCATGAGATGTGAATCGGAAGCGATATAACACATACGCCTCCATTGCGCCCATGCGGGCAGATTTGGCTTTGGAGGTTCGATCGCAGGAACGGAGCCGGAGCAGGAAGACTCTTGGGAGCCGGCTTTTCTCGTCTTTGTGGTTTGTGGACGACCCTCCAGGCTGGGCGGGCGGGGCCGGTTAAGCCTTCTTCTGGAGGAGGCGAAGCTGCAGGGGGTGGGGGCGGAGGTGGCTCCTGAGGCTACAAGACATCAGAGTTTGGTGATGCCCCAAGATCTCATAGCACTCACAGGTGGCCCCCAATCAGGAGAATATTCACCTCCTGCACCATGTTTGGATTTAACGGCCATAAGCTCAGCAATTTCGCTTTTCGCGTTGGCAATCAGCTGCGCATATTGAACAGATAAAGGCGGATACGTACAATTGAAGCTGCCTGCGCTCATCCCTAAGCTTTCCTACCTCTGCCAGCAAGATGCGAACTTCGCTCGCAAGGGCTTTGCTAAAATCGTTGAGGTATCTGGTGTGGCCCATCCATGAGTCTTCTAGCGTCCTGCCCGCGCAAAAACTATAGTGATCTCACTTGGGAGGAGCGCCGTTGTTGTAGGGATTTGGGCCGCCTTTATTGGAGGACATACTTTGAAAGTCTGCGGTGATGGGTTGAATGGGGACTGGGATTATGGCTTTCTGACAAACGTGCCGGTGCGCGTGGACTGGAAGCAATAATCCTGGGACACACGAGGCAATTATAGTAACCGCCTGAAAAAGTAACAGCTTGCAGTGTGCACAAGGCCTGGGCCTGCAGGTCGGATGTACTGACCAAACACTAGGACTCTAAACCAGTACTATACTATTCAGCAGTATCACGACTGATTCAGAGTTCAACGCTCACCAATGACTGCAAGCCTATTAAAAACTTTTGACCTGAGGAGATTTCTAATTACTTGTAAGCGGCGTACCATGCATACTTATGTAAATTTGGACTTGACAGGTCTCTACAGCACTCACAGACTCGGCCTTTCCATTCAATTGGATTCACGACGTTATACGTATATTCGTCATGTATCTAGTTGCATTCTTTGCTGCTAGTCCGCCGACCATCAAGGCCCAGGGTGGTAGCAGTTTCAGCAGCGGGGAATTTCTGCATCAACCCAGTCGTCGAGATAAACATGATGGTACGTCTCACTTCAACTCTGATCAGATCTACCAACTAAGCAGTGCGTCAGGGATATGCATTCTTACCACAAACTGACACAGGCCTCCACATGCGCAATGCAACCGCGCTTTTATCATCGCGGACGCTTCTTACCCGTCTGAACGTGTTCTCTTCATTAACTCTGGTGCGTCATTCATACCCAATTTATATACTCCAACTCAAACGTAACCACAACAGACATTGGTGACACCGGCATCCAACGAACCATTCTCACTCTCTTGAATCGCTCTATGGAGACCTCTACATGTCCACCAACACTGCGCTAGTCGGAACTCATGTCCGTCTTCCTGCAGGTCATTCCCCTCAGATACGTGAACGCAACCGCAGCCGCCATCATCTTCGGTGCCCTCAAAGCCATCGCAGACGTGCGCAACTCACTCATACCCAGTACACATACTTCCACCTGGCATTCCTGCATCCAGTGACTCCAACCTGGTGCGTGTTTTGTGTGTGTTGTAGACTTCGGCAAGGGAGCAAAGTTGCCAAAACCGCTTATTATTACAATGAGTCGGATATTCTTAGCGAGTCTTACTTATGTTTCCTTCCGTCGCTGTGAGATTATGGCGGTCAGAAAGACTCGTACTTGTTTGGGACAAGTGATATTCAGCTCGCCGAACTCAAGCGCAAAATTCCCTCGTTTGGTACGAAGGAGGTCAATTCTACCAAGGGGGAGTAACGAAGAAACCCTACATCAAACCAATCCTACCACTGGACTCAAGATACGTACCAGAGAACGTGAGCAGTGATCCAGGACCTCCGATTGTCGTTGTCAAGGCATCCAGTATCCGACCTGAGGTTCGCATTAGCCCCTTCAATGCAGTCACGGAACGTTGAAGGGTATGTACATCGATTATCAGGTCATATCTTTGACCGCAAGCCTCCCGGAAATATGATTTGTTGCAGCATTGACTTCCAGCGCTGTGCTTTCAGTAGGCACCATAGAATTCAACACACTAGCTAGCTTCACTCATCTTTGATCTGTTCAGGGAAAATCCGGGATTAGTATTCGAGCCTACATTCGACGCGGGCTAAATCTTAAAGACTTCCGCTTCATCGACGATGTCAGTATCAGCGGAATTATCGGAGCTTCTGAATGTCTCCTCTCGACATCATCACCCACAATGACTAACCTGACACCCAAAGTGCACCACTCTATTACAGAGCCACGTGCTGCATCCCTCGCCTCTCAAGCCAATAACAACAGCTGTCATGTCAAGGAGTTCGACACGCTGGTGCGCTCTTCTCGAAATGCAGAGACGACCTTGCAGGCGCTTGCGGTATCATGTTTGATGAGCGAAGATTCTTACTCTCGTTCATATCTTCGTTTATTCCCGGCTTCCTTCAAGGTACAAGTTATAATGCACATGTGTTGATCTGGACTACTTGCTAACTGTCGCAATAGAGCTTGGTTTAGTTTCGTAAACAATTGTCAATCTGACTCATGTGTTACTTATCGGAATCCTAAGGTTTCTCACTCCCGAGTCAAAGCTGCGTTTCGACGCAGCCTGTTTTCGTTTTTCGTTTTCAATTGTCCAGCAAAAGCGGCAAGGGCGTCGGACTCCAAAACTCGGTGCGAGCCGAGCCGCTAAAGGACGTCACCGTCTTCCTAAATGGTAACCCTTGTCACACACCTAAACCTCATTTTCTAACTTATCTAGCATTCCTGGTCCTACTTAATATTAAATAATTCTTGCACGATTCTCCATTCACGCACTTCCACTGATATTATGGCACGCAAGGCCAAGAATGGCTCCGGTGGACAGAAAGTAGTGGTCTCTTCTTTCCCAAAACACTGGTGGAGTTGGTGGTTCGGGAGGCACGATGAATTCTCCGCAACTGATGGTGGACTCGGATGGATCAGATGAGAGTGATGCTGCAAAGAAGCAGCAACGCGTCCGAGCTCCAGGCAAAAGGAAAATACACGAAGATCTTGATCCCAAAGACAACCTGTCCCAGCTAGCATGTACTCGCCCCTCAAACATGCCGTCTCATCTTTCGTTAGGCGCGCCGGTCACACACAGGACTGCCAAGGATCTCACTCCCACATTCCTGAGGGATGCCAAGTTGGAGGTTAGCAAGCCCGGCTTCATTCGGTGGTTCATCGCTACATGCCCTCGTGAAGTAAGGTTTTATTGCTATTTAGGCATGATGCTGGCGCTAATTTTCATCTTAGTGCAGCGCGTGTGCAAGAAAGGTGGTGGCTTGTGGGCACCCGCCTGTGGCAGACGTCACCCAGCGCAACTTTAAATGTAGAGCTTGCCGCAATGAACGTGGTGGAATATGTAGCTGGCTCCAAGATCTCTTAGAGGTATACATACGTGAGGCATACCAGCTAGATGTTGGAGAGGCGCGTGTATTGGCATCCTCAAAGTCAAACGATCCACAAGGTACTTTAAGCAGCTACTACCAAACTTGGCTTGCAGAACCTACTGGACGCTGCTCTGACGATGAGTCACGAGAGCGATTGAAGACCCGCGTGACATCCATTTCCTGGGATCGCTCACGCAAGAGGAAGATGGATAGCAGGGTTAGCTCCGCACAGTATGACCTCCTGCACCAGGCACCTGCACAACGCCCCTCGCCGCAATTGCCTTTGCCTGAGTCACAGCCTAAGCCACAGAAACGTGTCAAGCTGATAGTGCACCCTCCACGGGAAACAGCTACCTCCGGTTCAGGCGTCCTCACCACCACCATCCCCGGCCAAGGGTCCCTCGACACCTGCACCTGTCAAAATTTCAGGTGGGTCGAAGCTCCCACCTGACCAAACCTCTCTACCACCATCACCCCCACCCCTGGCCCGCAGTCCCTCGACACCTGCATCTATCCAAATTTCTCTAGGTGGGTCGCGCCTTCTGCCCATAATCCCTGACAGACTCTTTGCAGGGCACCCTCCACCCCTTTCAGCTTCACCGCCCATTTCTTCAGGCCTACGTCAGCCCCTAAGCCTTGCAGTCACCCCTACTCTAGTGCCTGCAAATTTTTCCCCACCTACAACTGCACTCGCAGCTATCACCACATTGGAGATTCACAGTAATGCCCCACAATATCATAGCCCTGCTCAGGCAGACGACCGGCATGCCACATCCCAACACCACCCAGGTGATAATCTCCCAAACACCGCCCCCAACAACTTTAACGCAGGCACCAATGAGGCATTCGCCGGTGCAGATCCCCGTCCCCCCTCCTGCAATATTGTCAGACTCAAGTCCGATATGGCTACCTTGTCAGATGGGCTAGCAAAGCTTGCCGTGGAGGATCTATCCTTGCAGGCAGATTTCTCCAATCGTCAGGAGGCCGAATCGTACCTGTTGAAAATGTTGCGGGGCTCGCTGCAGGTGTGCGACTTCCTCAGAAAAATTGTGGACCAACAAGATTCTAGACATGTTGCAGTCACCAGAAGCCTGGAGGATAGGATCTGCTCGCTGGCACTGGAAAATGGGCAGCTGAAAAAGGGGGTTGCCGCCCAATGTTTGGAACAAAAGATCTGCCTATTAGAGGTAGAGAATGACCAACTGCGAGGCAGGCTCGTCCGCCAAGATCAGGAGCTAGAGGATGGGAGGCTGCAGGGGAGGACCGTCAAGGGCCTAGAACCAAAGATCCGCCAGCTAGAGGCAGAGACAGATCAATTACGAGAGAAGATTGACCATCAAGAGCAAGTAATTGCGACCATGAGCGCTCGCACACAACTCGCAGACTGTGTGCTACGGCTAACCTCGCAGCAAGATCTACCTGCTCCTGCCGACACCCAGGCGGACACCAACTTGAGGGGCTTGGTCTCCATGATCCATGCGCGGCTGGACGGTATTCAACCTACCCCTGCGAGACAGCGACTCAGGGGTTTGGGTAAAGGTGACGGCGAGTCGGATTCTAAGGGAATAGGGCAGTCATAACCTCAAGTAGTGCTTAGTAGAACTGGTGACTGGCCCATCTATGAGGCAAGCCGTCGACAGACGGACTGGTAAAACTGGGTTTGAATTTGGATGAAGAACGGATTCTCAGGATAACGTGACCTCTAGCAAATGAAAAAACTAGGCTTTTTCAACAAGTATTGTAGAATACGAAAATAAACGATGAAATTTTCACTATTGACGCGACGTGATGCGTCCTCATGCTGCAAAATCAATGGACCAGCAATCAGTGATCACGGGTACAGGGAACCCACGTTGCATCACTTGATGCCCTGGATCGTTTCGCGTACCATCTTATCAAAGAACGCCTTCCCACCGACTATTTTCAGACACTCTGTTCAGACACTCTGTGATTCTGACCGAACGCACGCATTACGCGCGTGAAGTTTGATTGTGTATGCATTGACGGCGACAGCTATTGTTCCACGACAATTCCAGCTCGAGGCTGTTCTCGCGACATCGAACGGTCAAGACACTATTATAACTGCAGGCATGGGCAGTGGAAAAACATTATGTATCATAATTCCTATCCTACTCCGCCCTGGCACCATTAGTATGACTATTTGGCATCACAGTGACAGTGACAGAATCTGTCCCACGGAGAGCCTCCTTTACTGCGTCCATTCCACTGCGAAATTAATGGCAGTGGCAAAATTTTTGCACCCCTGGTGACCAAAAAGGAGATACATAGAACAACACGTCCTGGACGCTCGCAGGCATTTATAAACTTTTCAGACAACATTGGCGACACCAGTTAGCTTGCCATGTCACATAAATGCTATTGTTAACCGAAGGATCAGCAACGATCTCGAAGATTGTGCACTTCGACTGTGGAATCACGGATGGGAATCGGAGGATATCTGTGAAGCATTTGGTGTCAGTGAAAGAAGCTGCTACCGCTGGCGACGGATCTTTGGGGAGTGTGGTACTGTCACGAAGCCCCCTTCTACACTCACAGGACGTACTCGAACAATCATGCGAGCCCTGCCAATGGCTGTCAAAGATCTCTACTCCGATCTTTTCCTTGACTGTACATGGCTGGCACTTCAGCACAATATCATTCTCAGCACTTCCATCCTATCACGCAAACTCAAGGATTCTGGGCTCGCTCGAAAAATCCTTCAAAAACTTGCTTCCGAACGTGATGAGGTCTGTCGAGAGGAATTCAAAGCTGGCCTTCGCAATGACTTTATCGGGGATGACTTTGAATTCATTGTCATCGACGAAACGAACACGAATGACCGGACATATGCACGGCATTGTGGATGAGCACCGAGTGGAAATCGTGCACAACTTACAGGTGTTTCCGTTTGAGGCGATCGTTGCTCGTTGTGTGCTGCTATGACCGTGCAAGGATACATTACTGCTCAAGTAGTCGAAGGCTCGTTTGATGCGCAGGAGTTCTATGACTTCACAGCCGAGGGTGTGTTAACTATGTGTCCATTCTGTGCCTGTTTAGCTTTGAAGATACAAAATTTTCTAGTTTCCACACGTGAATCCCTTCCCTGCAGAGCGTTCCATTACTGTTCTCGACAATTGCCGGGTTCATCATGATGAAAACCTCGGTGACCTTGTCGAAAGTGCTGGTTTGGTTTTTTATCTGTTCTTTCCCTGGTAAAGCTAACATTGGACAGGTTGTCTCATACTCTACCTCCCTCCATACTCACCTGATCTGACTCCAATCGAGGAGTCATTCAGCACCCGTAAGTTATGGATAATTCATATGTATTCTCCGCATCTGATCCATTGTTGACGGTCAAAGTTTATATTCAACATCACGGACATCTGTTGCGACAACTCTAAGATCTTGTTGACGCCCTTCTCGAAGCAAAAGGTTGTATTACAGCGGAGAAGCCACATGAGTGGTTCAAAAACGCAGTGTTTTTAACAGGTATTTTTAACAGCGGTTGAAAAATAGTGACTTTTCAACCGTACCCTAGAGAAGTTGTCGTACCAGGAGACGAAGATGCTGAAGGTACCTCGCCAGTAGCTGGAACAATTGCCGCTTGGGGTTGTGCGTGACCCTGCAAAGTGTCTGAAAAACTTGTACAAGTCGTAAGAGCTTCCCCTAGCACCCAGGACATGTTGTTCTATGTATTTCCCCCTTCGTCACCGCGGACGCAACCTTTCTGCCACTGTTCGCACACAGCTGTAATGCAAAGCACTGTAAACCTTCTGGTATACATAATATAATACTGGCACGCCACACAGCTCAATGAGCCTGTGAAGGCAACGTGAAGGGCAGCATGCCGATTCTGAGTACATGACACTGAACAAACTATGAGCGGAGCAATATTCATACCACGAAGATGTCCCACATCCACGGGCATTTCCTAAGCTCTCATTTCCCTTAAAGCCTTGTAGACAGTGTACAAGCGTTCTCTAGAGCGTGCAAGATCAACGCGAAGGACGTTATTCCACTTCAGTGTCTTGTTATGGGATTGTTCCTTGGGAGGTTGATAGCTTAGATCCTTTGCTGCAAGACTGTGCATAGTCTCACTGATGTCGGCCCGATAAATCGTGGTACCGCTCCAGTATGGACCTGCAATATCAGGGTCATGACATTTACTATAGATATACGGTATGGACAAATCACCTGCAGCTGCAATAGCCATCACAGAACTCATGTCTGGGTTTTGGCGGAACAGATATCCTGCTTGTTCAACCTGATCATCCCTAGCTTCTATAATCCGCAGAACAATTTGAGAGTCCAACTCCTTACCCATCAGACTCCTAATTGCAAACCTCTTCACTTCTACCAGAAGGCCGACACCGGCCCCAGTAATCCTCCATCCTCCATAGCAATGCCCCTCTACCCCGGTAGGCTGCCAGGGCTGAGCCACTGCTGTAAGATTGATGGTCGCGAAATTCACAATGACGCCCTCAGCATTCTTTTCCGAGATGTGCATCATTACTTAAACATGGTGTTCTCCGAGTCACCATGGGGATCATTGGCTTCAGTAATCAGGGGCAGAACGAAATTGGTTGAAGTTGACTTGCTGACGATGGGTTTGACGTACACTGATTGCAGATTTCGGAGTGAAGCACGCTGTAGACATGTCAGGAAGCATAGGAAACCGTCTGACATGTAGGAGCCACTGGCTGTCCCGGGTCCGGTATTCTACCGAGGAAAGGAGTTGTCAAACTCCAACTCGATTGTTTTCATTATACAGCTAAATATTTACTGCAATAATTCATGAGAGGTACGACGCACCCTAACCTTTGCACCTCGCATATGATTTTATTGATCTTCACCTGACGGAAGGTCCTCGCACCAATAGTAGATAGCGAGTTCAAGCACACCTTGACACTTTCATACCAACGTTTCATCTACTAGTAGTCTGCTTGAATTTGACCTTTCCTTTCTATGGACGTATATGTACTAAGAAGCGGTGCATCAAGCATGGGACAACTTGTTTTTCTTTAAAAATCATTGTTGCTACATATCATGATGGTCAAACATTTCTGTGTAACTACCCCTTCCACATTACGGAGGTTTGTGCAATTATTATTAATGGGTAGCCTGTTATGATAATCTAATTTATTCATCAGTTCACTGATGTGATCGTCTTCATCGTCCTACTCTTCGAGTTTGCAGTCTTTGTGCAAAGCATTCTCTGCCCTTTTTTCCAATTGCAGTGCCCGTGAATGCCGCCATCTCTCTGTGTACTACATATCGAGAGTTCTCTACTAAGTAATTGCCGCTCTGTTGTCAATGAATATGCTTGCCAGGTACTCTACGTTCGGTTCGGTTGCAAGGAGCTTCGCGACCAGGGTTCAGCCTAAATACTGTGTGTGTCTTGTCAGAGCCTAGGTGGTATTGAAGTGGTGTACAAGGCGTTTGTCACGCTGTGTCACACCTCGCTAACTCCTGTAATGTTTGTGGCTGATCATCACAATCATTCACTGTGCAGTGTGCACCGGTAGGCCAGCAAACCTGACTGTTGCATTTTAGCTACATACGAATCAGAGAAAGTGCTCACTGTGAGCTCGCGGCACTTCTAAGGTTGAAATTGGTATGAGTTTGCCTTTCCGACGCTGATCAGTGTACCAAACTGTCTCCAGATGGTATATATCATGTCATAGCACTCACACAACTCAAAATTTCAAAGGAAAAAACAACTACGTAGAACAATTCGTTGACATGATATCACCCTTTAGTTCTAGTAGGGAAGCAATCCATAATGATGTGCTAGCTCAAAGGCACGAACGCTGGGTGAGTACGAACTCGTGGGGTATTTAGTATTGATGACTTCGCGAGGTGGAACGAAGCGCACTTCGACCAACTTCGCTCACAACGAAGTCTACCGAAATGCGTCCAATTTCCACTTCAATTCGCTTCACATAGCCGGGGTTTTGACATTTTACCACATTTTGCCACTAGTGAAATCACATCCGAAATGCAATCTAGAGCGCTCCAGAGCGTTCCAGGCTAGGTCTAGAATGCTTTAGCGAGGTCTAGATCTGCTTTTGATTGAATTTTGCAAGACATCAGGAAAACATAATTCGTGACAGAGTGCTACAGAGCGCTCTGTAGCACTCTGTAGCACAATTGAACCCGCTGATGGAGGTAAAATGTCCCAAACCTCCGATGTGTCAGTCCGCTTCGCAGCAACACTACTTCGGAATGCTACACGCTTTCGTGATTGTCCCGGCGTGCGAAGTACGTAAATATATTGTAATAGTTTCGGCACGCAGAAGTTTCGGCTACGCGTAGTCCTAATTTGGTGGCTTATGTCATTGTTTGGCTGGTGACTGACACACTTGGACGCAGCTTTAAAACTAGTATATACTATTGTTATATACTATTGTTATTGTTATTGTTAGATTTTCTACATGTTTCTACACGGATATTATAGGGTTAGGCCTGCTGAGGTTCAGGAGCACTGCTGGAGTTTAGGACGTGTTTTAAGACTGTAAGGGTTTAGGTACGAGTCCCGTTTAGGACAGGTTTAGCGACGCTTAGCGTTTGTTTGGATCCCAAACGCCAAGGACATTTTAGAATTGAGCATTGATATTGTAATACTTTCTATACTAGGCTAGTATTTTTAGAACTGGCCTACACCCTGGCAGTGGACGATTTAAATTGCTTGGTACTTAGTCTCATTTTTGATCCGCGTCGCTCAGACAATCTCAAGCACTTCCTGGAAGGTGCCAGCAAACTCATCGTGCTATCTAGCAATGTCCAAAACTTGTAATAAATGCAACCAAATCTTTCCCACAACAAAAGAGCACAGCCGTCACCAGAAAAAATGCACTGCTGGCAGTATGGATGGCAAGATCTTTTTCAATTTCGAGGGGACCGACATCACTGTGGTAAAAAACCAGCATGGAATGTATGATTGCCACTGCTCTCATTCGGCATGTTTGGCGACGGGTAAAAAGGCCTCGCTTCCGCTGAGGGGCTGAAGAAGCATATGAGAAGATTGGAGTCTCATTGGATCGGACCAGTTGAGGTGATGCGTCGACTTCACAATCAGCATGCACACGTGCTAATCATAATTCAAGCAGTCTTCTTCAAGCTGCGAGATAGTTCAGCCCATGGTCGAAGTAAGTTGTGGAAATCAACAAGTCGAGCGACTCATAATCACTCTCACAGATAGAAAGGATGGAGGTTACTTCTGGTGACGACAGCCAGTCTATTGATCAAGTACCTAGCGTACCTGACCCTTGGGTAGGGAGCATACTGGCAGCTTGCGCGCATAAGCTGATCAATCATCATTGCCCACAGCCTACTCAGGGAGGTCATGCAATGGTTATGGCGCAACAATATGATCACGTGAGCGCAACAATCAACGGAGATACGTCCTAATTGACCATCCGATGTAGTCCGCACCCAGCACTCCAGAAACCAGGCGAGGAAGGTCTCTTCAATGGCAAACAGACAGGGCAAGTGCAAAAAAAGCAGTGCGTATGTTCACCAATGAGCTCACAGAATGTCTAGTCTCCTCAGATGGATCAAGTGCAGAATATAATGCCTGCTGCCCCCTTGGAACGGCATGAGGTGGGTCATATAATGTTGGTATACGCAAACGTCGATTCCTTACGGCAGCATCAGTCGGACAACGCCGTTGCATATTTCTCGCAGAAGGACCCCCAAGTAAGCACCATAGTTTCACTGTACAATTACAATTGACCGACGATGGCTGTACAGACTGGCAATCCCTCAGCTCCAAAGGTATGCTCCAGTATTAAATTACTCAAACTACTTCCAAACATGATCAGGACCGACTGCTTCACCATCCATATCTCGACACCATCAACGTCGTTGTTGACCCTGATCTGCTCATCTTATGCTGTCAAACCTGCCAAGTCGCTCTATCTATTGGAGTCGAGCATCTATGGTGACCATAGATGTTCCTGGAGGGAACATCTTAATTTGGTTAGTAAAGGGAACAAAGGAACACCAAGACTAATATTCTGTGGGAAAAGAGGGAACACTATGTCTTTATTTGGTTAAGACAGTGGGAACACAGGAACATCATGTGTCATTATCTGTGGGAAAGAGGGAACACTATGTCTTTATTTGGTTAGGACAGTGGGAACACTGTGGGAAAGAGGGAACACAGGAACATTTATTGGGAACACTCCGTGGGAAGAGGGAACATAGGAACATCATTTGTCATAATCTATGGGAAAGAGGGAACACATTCTTTCTCTGACCTTTAACTCACCACTTGTATTTTCGCATTTTTCACAACCTAGGTGCCTTTAATTCATTATACCCTTGCTTTCATATCATTATAGCATATCTTCACAACATATATGAACCCATCCCAGCCCTTATTTGACCTCCTAGAGCGCCCTATATCAATTCCTGTACTATACCAACATCAAAAATAAAACAGGTTCACCTTTTTATACCTCAACCTGGAAAGCTGGCATGCATGCACATATCTCACCATGGGGAGACTACTGGAGAGCCCCACTGAACTGCTTGTAATGTGGGCATCCTGATAGACAACTTCATCATTATATGTCAAGGTCCAGACTAGGTTCATGGAAGATATATAGCTGGACAGCAGAGCGACATTGAAAGTTTGCTTTTAATGTCTTTGCATTATTGTCAACCAACACCACATTCTCTTCTCTAGTCAATTTACAGCTGTTTGCGAAAAGGTTGACAGTAGTGACATTTTGAGAATGTAAAAAACAAATAAATAATAGGCAGGTACATAGAGTCAAATAACAAGTGCATATACTCACAACAATGGACTCCATATTCACGGACAGCTTCTCGAGTGATGGTGAACTATCAATGCCAGAAGATGACGACGTGTTGCAGTCTTCCTCCATGGACTCTGGGAAGCAAGTGAATGTTGTTGCAGATGGAGACCCTGACGAGTCAGAACCAGTGGAAGTACTTGACAAACATGGACCTGGCCGCCCACAGAGACACGAAGAAGGTATGGTGTGCTCACCACAGGCTTAGGGTGTCAGGACTGTCATGATTATCCTTTGCTTAGCTCCTCCTGCGCCTCAAAATGTCACGATTTCATATTCCCTCGTCATGTACTCATTTGAACAGATGAAGAAACCAAAGACGAAGAGGAGCGGTAAAGTCTAAACTCGATAGTCTAATACAATAGTCTAATACAATAGTCTGAACTCGATAGTCTGAATTCATTATCTCCGATGTTTCGGATTTCTTTAGCTTATATCTCAATCAAATGATAAGCAATCGACAAGATCAGACTACCAATATACTCACCTTGACTCGGAGTCTCGGACTACAACTCTTGTTAAGAAAGTTAAGCATGATAACAACTTTCATTTTTTTCATTATCGCTGAGTCCTGACATTTCAGATTTTATTCCTAGTCCAATGGATAATGGTATATATATTAGTTGCAGCCCATGCGAATATAACATGGCATTAGCTTTGTAAATACAGGTGATGGTTCTAACTCACATCTCAGTCTCTTGTAAGGAGCTGAGATGTTTGGGTGCTACTGAAGGGCCTTCAGCAGAACAAGGGTATCCCAGGAGATCAGTCAAAGTGAAAAGGAGGATCATAATTGTCTGACATAGTTAAGCACATGTCTACAATTGGCGGGAAGTGCATGGTGTTGGAGTCAGACAATGATAGGGGCGCTTGACAGTGGAGTAGGTACGAGTGGACCCAAGCTCCGTTCGGCCGAGAAACCTTCCCGCTATGTTTCAAACTGATATGTTTATTTTATTCCTATTCTACCCGTAGTTAAAAGAAGGTACACGTCGTATGAACATCTCAGTCCTTTTACCAAGACTGAGATGTGAGCCTTAGTTTTATTCCCCTCGATAACGAGCTAACATACCCATTAGAATACATTCTCTTATAGCTCATCTCTTGCGTCGTCGCTCAGCCTCTACTCGCAGGACATGGATGAATTTAAATGTGACTCACGGATGTGCACTTCTTCGAACCTCGCTATTGTCGGTTGTGTACACTGTCATACTAGGATCTGAGCTACATTTCAACTGCTCTGCGGTGTGTACCACATTATCAATATGCCAAACTTCGAAGGCAATGATCAGGAGTTTCTCCGCGAGAATTGCAATATTGGTACAGTAGTGGCGGCACGCAACTCACCATCCTTTGACAGTTCGATCCACATTCTCCACCTGGACACAACAGCTGCGCCGAGGGATCCGGAATGAAGAACGTGATGAACCACCCCTTTTCTGGCTCCTCTGCTCCCAAAGGCCATCCTCCTCGCCCATGTAGGATTCCTCTTGTGGATGTCTTTGCAACTCGGGGCAAATATGTATTTTTCGATATCCATCTCATGATGCTGATATTGTCTCGTAGCACACCGCTAATGCCCACAGTGGCAAAGGGCATAAGTTGGTGCAGCCACCATGTCCTCCTTGCCAATAAGCCAATGCTAGCTCCTCGAGTAGCAGCACGCCACCAGCAGGGACAAACAATTTTATCGGCGGAGCCACCCCAGTAACGTTGCAGACTGGAAGTATCGGTGCAGCTACTAGTAACGGATCTCCTTCCCTGTTGGACGTTGAACATGTTCCAGACATCGGCTACATTGCAGTTCTCACAATGTGGTTCCCGCGTCTTGCACGCACTGGACAAACAAGTTTGACTGCTTCCAGCTCCCGCTAGGTTTTCTGTCCTCTCCGAACTTTTACGTTAGAGTACATATCACCACATGTACTGAGTATTTGACGACGCGTGCAATTCGATGTTGCTCCCAATAAACGATTGACAGTGTACCAAGTATGATACGCAGGATTCAGATCATAGAGAAAAAACATTGTCGGCAGGTCAAGTTCGAACCTGCACCATCCAGGAGTAACAGACTTCGAATCAGTTATCAACTTGGCCATAAGTCTTATGGTTGACGTTCGAAGACCTCTCCGTGAGCTCATGCCCAAGGTGCGATCATAGAAAAAAACTGTTGTCAGCAGGTTTCGAACCTGCACAATCCGGGAGGAACAGATTTCAAATCTGTTAACGACTTGGCCATGACCCTTACCGTTGACGTTCGATGATCTCTCCATGAGCTCATGCCCAAGGTGCAATCAAGATTGTCAGCACTATTGTCAGCAGGTTTCGAACCTGCACCAACAGATATCAAACCTGTTAACCACTTGACTAAGATTGGTTAAGATAAGTTGATGAATTCAAGCTAAACATGCCAAATTGGTAAGGTCTGCCTGATGATGTGGCCGGTTGTGCAGGTAAGAACGACACTAACCATAGTACCATGAACCGCGATTCAGCCCAATATGTACCAGCTCGCGCAGCCGTAGAGTGCGCAAGCATGGGAAGAATCTGATGTTAGCGGTGGTCTTCAATGAGAATGCATGTGACAGTATTGTTCTGTCGTCGCTCGATGACTCGGATAGGTGGTACAGACCGTATTGATGACAGCCTGTATGTATGATCTCGTGTGTATATTGGCCAGCCCACGTGTAGAGCTGCGCGTCTGTATGGTTGCCAAATCGACCTATTCCAGTGGTCAGGAGAAGTCGTGTAATCGAATGTACCCAGGGGGTAGTTGCCTCAAGCTGAATTACGATATCACCGCAGTCATCGAGTCAATGATTCGTTGCATTCATGTGGTCGCCTATCAGGACAAGATCAATGCGGAAAGATATCGATGAGACGAGAAATAGAATCAGCCGCAACAGGGCGAAGCACATTACAAGCGACCACCGCGCTACTCCTGAAACACTAGCTTGCATGCGGGACACCACGTATCTACAGCAAGGCCGACATGTGGGTTTAGTATCCTGTAGGAGACACAAATTAGTGCCCACTCACCTTAGACTCCTTGGTGCACATAAGTGACCACTCCCTCGTCGACGCTCCTGCCAGTGCTGACCGAGACACCGAAAAAGATTCAATGGCGGCCATCACTGGCACTTACAAAGTAGCGTCCGAGTCCCAAGCGCCAACTCAAGAGGAAATGCCTTGGTGAACTGAACGAGGCAGTTTTCATTTGTGGTACCCGTCTCCTCGTTACTTGCTCCCACCACAAGAGTGGGATCTGGACGTATCTGGACTTGGGGAAACAAGTGGGCAGCAGAGCAGTTGAAATCCAAAGCGCACACACGTGAGTCATTCAAATTGATCCATGCACTTCCCGCCATTCATAGAACGTGTCTAACACATCTAACGAAGGGTGATTGCACATGTAAAAGAAAAGGAAGAGTACGTACGAGAGTGACGTCGATAGTTGTATCCTGACACCGGCGGGCCGTAGTTGCTGTTGTTTCACTGGTTGGGGTTGACATAGTCGCTGCTCAGAGGCTCAGCTACAGCAGACGATCAACAAGGGTTGTCTAGCAAGGACAAAGACAGCTGGTGAGTCTGGTATGCCGGTTCTCAGCGTTTTGGTGCAATGTGGACGGCGATAATCTTGGTACATGGGAGCATATGTACTGTATGTACCGTATGCTACTGTATACCGCTGTAAAGTACCACGTACCGTACCGTCAGCATGTTTTTTGCAACCGTAATGGACTGTCATTTTTTGATTTCATACGGTGGCACACTGTATACGGTACGGCTGTACGCCATATACGGTATGGTGAACAGCCCTAGCTGCACAGTATCGTTCAGGTGAGAGACCGTCTTGCTCGTCATGTATTCCGCAAGTCGTGTGTGGCCTTCATCTATGAAATGTTAGTATGTGTGAAGTAAGTTACTCAGTGAATGGTTCATCTTCATGATCCAGGACACCCTGATCTCCACTGATAATGCAGGTGAGGCATGCGATGATCTATAAACCAAAGATAAGTTCTTATAGTCGCGTCAGAATCTCGACTTTCCATGGACTATACAGAGTCACAGTGTTCCCCCACGCTACAGATTGATGAGATGATAAAACACTAATGGTTGATTTCCAGTGTCTCCGGGAGTCGACATTGACAAATACATAAATACTAGGACGTATGTATGTGCTCCCAGCCTTCATACATCCCTCTTCTCACACTGGTTTCAGTATTCCCGCTCCTCATCCACCATATTATTTCACTCAACCCCCACATCCAAGTCACAATCCACCTATGTATCAATACCCACATCCACATACTACATTCCCTCAGCAATATTTTACACAGCGTTAATGAATTGCATTTAGTTGTACATAATTCTGCATACATGCTGTAGCTAACGGACTTACTAATGCCGTCCTAATCAATTGTTGTTAAAGTTCACAAATCACGAACCATGAATCTAACGTCTGCCGAGCGGACTGTAAATTCAGCCGGTGTGACTGTCCGTTACTATTCGTGACATGAGTGTGACTCACGAAATAATGTACCATCACGAATAGAGCATAGGGGTTAGTACCATCAGTTTGGGATCGGTCATTGGCGGCGGAGTTCAGAAATGTCGCTATGTTATCATTGTGATTCACAATCACACTTACACCTCTCGTGCTGACACTCACTGAATGCCTCGCATCAAGAAAAAAAGCCGCCAGCGACACAGGAGCACTGTGCCTCAACCTCACTTCAAACCCGTTCGCAAACAGCGTCGTGCGATGACCGCAGCAAAATCTGCAGAAAAACGTCCTTCTACCATCAGTGGGGCACTTCCTCAACCCATCCGTGATTTCCGCATCCCTGTCAGCAAGGCCGAACTCTCTATGGGCCAATGGGATGCACGTGCACCTCAGAGGATTCATTACGGCGTTCCGGAACTGATAAGCTACGGTGCAGGGGATACCGCTCAGCTCGAGTTTTTGCGGGTTCCTGCTATGAAGGACCGGCGGATTATCGGCTATGTGCCCCTTCCCACCAGATATCGGTCGTCCTGGGTGTATCTTTGCTACTGTGTAGAGTACTGGTTGGCGGTGTGGAAATGTTGGGATGGTGAGTCAAAGAAGAATAAACAAAAGCAGAAGAATACAAAGACGCAACAAGAGAGGGCGGATCTGATTGACACGTCTCGCAAGAATGCTGGTGCACGTTTCCTTCAAGCTATGGTGGCCAGAAGAATTGTGTTGGAGGAGTGCATCGCGAACGGCGTGAATGATGAGCGGATTAAATCACTCGACGAGTTCCTCATTCGCGATCACCGAGATTGGCTATTCGTGGAGTTCGATGAGTTGCCTGACGATGCGGACATGTATTTAGCGGCCGATCCGTTGCACCAAGGGAACAAGAAGATGTTCGGTAGGCGTACCCGATGCGGACGTGTGCATCTGCGCTAACTCGCGATGGCCTCAGAAACGGGCTGGGGCGTAAATGTGAATGACATCTCAATGATGCTTGGCCAGGCAGATGATGCATGGATGTCCAAGGGACTTGACCTCTCAGAGATGTTCAAGAAAGAGATGGATGCAGCCCTCAAGAGGCTCAGAGACAGAGCGGAGGAGATCCACATCACACACGATGAAAATGCAGAATTGCCAGACAGGTGGCACGAGTCCCATGAGCCGCCAATTCAATTCATCAGCAAAAGAAAGGACCAGCTCCTTAGTGCGGGTGAGGAATGGACGAACTTTTGCCTCTGCCCCACTAACATGGTATTTGAGTACAGGAAAGAAGTGCATGAATTGAGCCCTCCATTTGCGACACTCACAGTGCAAGGTTCTCCCACCTTCCTGCCACCCTATCTTCTTTGTGCCTTTAGTACTTTGACCTGGTCATACAACAAAAGACAATGCCTCCGTCAACATTTATATGGATTGGTGTACTCTAGTGTGTCACCCCAACCAACCAACGTCATGAATTCAAACAACCCCAAAAATGTGCTTTAACACAAGCCATCCAGTTTTAAAGATTTATTGTTGTATGCTCACGCTCAAGCCCAAGACCATTTACAGCTGTTTGCATAAATGATGACAGTACACGACTTTTTGGGAAAGAAGAAAAATTAAATATTCTAGTGTGGCACTTCGTCTTGCGCCGCAACAATCAACCGCAATCAACATCGATGTATCAAAAAATCAGTCGCGACGTCAAACTCGCTGCCGTCAATCTCTACGAGCGTCAACACCTTTTCTCTTCAGGACATTCTCGCTTGTGTTGGACAACTTGGATTCTCGGAAAGTACTTTCTGGCGTGTCCTTAAACTTTGGCGCAAGACAGGCAACGTTGTTAGCCCCACCTGTAGCCTTCTTGGTTTCTTCATTTCTGAGTATGAATACACTATGAGAGTGTACGAGATCGAGACATTGTGTGGTGGTGGAGGTACTGAGTAAAATCTCACATTCAGGTATTCAAGAATCAATGGTCAATGAACTTCGAACAATTGTACCTTCCTTGGGCTTGGGAGGGCGACCAGGGCCGCGTTTTTCGTTTTCTGGTGATTCTAGTTAGGAAGTGGGTTCCACGACAATTGTTTCATCCCCTGGAGAGATGTCATACTGGTCCCTGACAGCCGCCGTTATCGAATCGTCGTCAGAGTCCATAGAATCAGAGGATATCGAGTTTGTCATTTTCGACTCAATTGTAACTCACATACATGCGGGATGCGTTATTTACTGCTGTGTAAGATTTATTTATTTATTCTTCTTTCTCAAAAAGTCGCGTACTGTCATCATTTATGCAAACAGCTGTGATTGTTATTTGACACTGAATGAACCAATCATCTACATCAACAACCACCCCTATTTCTCCTGGTCTACATTGTACCGGCTATCAACTTCCTTCTGCTCCCAACAACCTTCCTCTGTCTACCCTGGTCGTCACCCATCGACAACCCTAATAATGACAGCTCATCAGCCACCGCCATAGAGTTAACATCTGACATGCCCTCGAGAAGCAAAATCAGGTGGCGCAGTAGCTGATCACCTCAATTTGTGCTGCCTTTACCTTTGCAGCGCTCCCTGCAAGACATGCCTCTCTGTAATCCACCTGCGAGTGACTTGAGGAGCATATGATTGAGACCCTTGAGAATAGGCCATCTTCCGTTTAGCGAACAAGGCTCAACCCTCATTTATCAGAAACTAAGGATGAACATGGCCGAGTGGAAAAGGAAAAATACTGCTGCTATCTGCATTACGATTTGCACAGGGCTCGCAGCTCCTTGGTCAATCCCTCCTAACATTGCTAAATGCTAGCACTTATCATGCTCCGAGGCACGACTGATGATATAGTCTCATGAGAGGACACCTCTTGAGATGACGCACGTCTGACGATTCATTTGATGGTCACTCTCGTGATCCCCCTAATAGTGCGGATCATATGAAAGAAGAGATATGCTGGCTCTCCCCAATCATTGATATATTCACTATGATACACCTTCCCGATATTTCACAATAGTTGGGTGGACGGTGGGAGAGGTCAAAGTATGGTGCATAAGTGGAGAAAACACTGCGATTGCAGTTCGCCCTGTGTTCCCTGTCAACTACCTCCACTTTTCAAGTTGTATTTGATCTACCCACGTATCTACAACATCTCCATTCACGTTCACGATTGTTGCCATGCCTTTTGTTTGATCAATGAGCTAATGAGGTACTGGTGACTTCCTGCAGCATTTAGAATCCTAGATATCGTTTCAGATCTTATCTATCGGATATTTAGCTCACAGTACATCAACATCTAGAAACATGTTCTAAACCTAAACATGAACGAGGACGACATGTATCTATATCGGCTATATCACATGCTTGAGCTGGCGGAGGATGGGAATAGACGACGAAGATCAATTACGGAGTCACAGGATAGCTGTACTTGGTACAATCGTTTTTTTCAGCAGCCGAAGAATTGCGACGTGAACGTCTGGCACGCCGACAAGCAAGAAAAAATGTACCTTAGTCAAGGCGGTCTACTTACTAATGCCCGTAGCAATACTCCCTGGCAAGCTCTGTACTTGGCTCACAACGACCCAGCCTTTCCCCGCGACGCGGCGCTGTTTCGAGTTGTATGCTCCACAGTGTAATATATTGTTATTATAGAACACCGACTCGCCAGCTTGATATTTAAGCTTGGTGAGACACACTTAGCGAGGAAATAAACTTTCGTGAACTGACGTTGCAAGGTGGCTTGAATCGCTCCCGGCATGTCTAAAGGGTTCGCAGGTGGTGCTTGTGTCATTGACTGAGCTCTGTGAAGCTCCGTTCTCGGCAGTTTATGGGTCTTCGGGACGAGGTAGAGACACGAGTCCTCGTACAAAGCGCTGTTCATGATTCAGATAAATCATCAACAAGTCGACGTTGGAGGATATTCGCGTATTCCATTGAACCTAGAAGTCATTTAGAACGAACAAATCATCAACTGCGAGCACTCACTCCATGCGTCCAGAGTCCAAGAGCAATAACTTCTTCCTCAGCGGTCGCATTTTCTCGTACATCATCACGATGCCATCGAAGGGCAAAATCGTGTTCTAATGGGTTGATTAGCAGGTGTAAAAGCTCTGCGAAACATATCAACACCAGACAAATTATCAGGCAAACAACACGCATACCCATTTGTAGTTCATCTTCGTTGCATTGCAACAACTCCTTCGCAACATTAATGAGCGCATCCGAGGTGTACCACTCTGCAAATGGGGGCTCCTCGAGGTCAGGATGCATGAGGTGTTGAACGCCCCACAAATCTGGATTGCTATCGTCGAAAGGAGGGAACTGTCTTCCGACGGTGCGCCGGTGGGGCCATGATCCAGTTCTGGTCTTAGCTATAGCATGCTCGCATGCCTCTTTGAGGGCCTCGAACATCTCTGAAGGAATGAGATTTGGGACGATGATGTACCCTTGTTCGTTGTATAAAGCTTTGTTGATGGCTGCAGTCATGGTGAGACAAGGGAATGCTTAATGGAAACTAGCATTCATGTTCAAGATGAGATAACTACTTATTTGTGACTGTCAGAGGTGTTCACATGGTTCTATTGAAGAGCCAATATTTGTCAGATTTGAAAAGGTCGTCGAGTCGCGGCTCGTACGGAGCGGTCGTGCCGCCTGCCGGAAGTTCTTCTGACTACGGATCCCCGTTCCCACGCTAGTTTTGTCGACCTCTCTGCCTTTATCTACAAGACTTGATCTGACTAGGGGTCCGCCATGCGAACTTATGACCTTGCTCCGATTCCATTTTCGAAATCGCCTGTTGCCTATGCTATTTGTATTATTCGAGACGTGACAGGTGAGATGCTTCGTATTGTGACTAACGTCTTTGAACCAAGGGTGAGTCGTCCTTTATTTTTTTAAATTAGTATTTATATATTTGGTGGTAGAAGTTGCCTGTTCCTGATTCTCCTCATAGTCGGCAACTGTCAAACGCCCCGGTGATGGATGACACTACAGAAAATTGGCCTGTGCCAACTGTTTACGAAGACGAATTTGCCCATGTCAAGTATTCCCATCATGTCCTCCCTCTGCCAGTTTTTGAGGACGAAAAACCTGTCGCACCTTTGGACATCAACAGAACTCTGGAAGGAGCTTTAGTTGAAGTCCATTTTTTGATTCAGCATTGGCACTTGGGCGGATATGACACGTTCCAGGCGAAAGCAGACGGGATCAACATCCTCAAACATAGCGCCAGTGTCCCAGCAAAGCATCATCTGGACAGCGAAACCAATGGCCTACGACCACCTCACAAGAAGTCTGAGACGGCACTGGAGGCAACTAGTTCCAAGGGATGAAATGTTACGTCGTGGCGATTGTCCTAATTGTATTTGTATCGGTGTTCACACAAACGTGTTCTGATGTGACAGACGTGTTGTCGATGATTGGGTTACGTCGTGGCGATTGCCTTAACTGTATTTGTATCGGTGTTCACGCGGACGTGTTATGATGTTACAGACGTGTTGTCCATGGTCAAATTTGTATTACTACTGTCTATTGAGTAAGGCGTTATATCACGATCACAATTGTATTTTGTACTGGTTGGCGAAATTTTGAAAATGAGACTCTAAAGTCATTTGCAACGCACTGTACATCAGTAGCATTGAAATTCGTTTATCGTTTGTATTTGTCTGTATTTGGCATCGTGATAAGTTGCCACAATTTCATGTGTGGTTGTGTGATGGTATGTTTGGTGTTCTGTATCATGTACTTAATGATTTGCCCAACATTCAACTTTTCTTTGAGCTTCTCCACACCGTCATGTACCTTGCCGTGTCACATTCCAGTGACATGTGTTCTGGAGTCATCCAGACATTTAGCATTCATGACGTCCCCTTCTCCTGTCAAGGAGACATGTGGTTGACAGGCCTTGGCAAGAAGCCCGAAACTCCTGCGCTCATATACTCGTCTATCTGATTGTTTTCTTAGTGAGGCGGCGTTACCCAATGACCAATGATGCACGGGCTCTGTCTCTCCAAGTGAATTATTGCCCTCCCTGGTAAGGATGTCGTGGTCTGGAGTCATTCAGACATCATGTGTACCTTCCCTTCTCCTGCCAAGGGGAAGTCCGAACTCGGCTGACATGCCGTGCAGGAGGGCACAATAGTACATCAAGTGTTAGTCAATTCCTGCTATATAAACTGTAACAATATGGGTGTACCACTCGTGGGTTGGAAGCGCTGCACGCGAATGGTCTCCGTCATGATTTATACCTTTTGGTGTACGTGACGTGATGCTCACGCGTGTCGCACTGCATAATAGATATTTAACGTGCAGAATATCGTTTAAATCTGACTAATGACTCCATGCCATGAGTTGCTTTGGCTGCCATGGCCAGCTTACCGATCCATCACTGTCAAAAGTCTTCCATGTAAATTCGGACAGGCTGCCATGTATTTATCTATACGATGGACACAAGTGAACAAAGATCGTATCCCTTTTGTATCGACCGTATCAATTCGATGCCGCGTTAAAGAACTGTATCATTTCAACAAGTTCAGTGTTATCTCAACTTGTCCGATAGATCTTTTCGTTATGTCGCTGGTTGCAATCGTGATTTTAAACATCATTCCAGTCCGCCCCACCTCTACTCTTGTTTCACCGCTCACAAAGCTGATTTCCATTTCATTGCTCATAGACTGATCAAGTAGGAGCGTTCTTCCGTTCTAGAGTATCTCGACAGGATCGAACGTCAGACGAATGTCTGATTTAGGAGCGGAAGGGGAAGAATGCCCTCAGCCTTCTCAAACAGGTCAACAGCATTACCGCTCGGAGACCAGCTCCACTAATGTAAGGCTGGCTGTAGGTTCGAAGGGGAATAGTAACGAAACAATGTAGATATGAGACGTGTTTAAGATGACACGAGGTTGAAAATGAGAAGACGTTTAGAGACGAGCAGGAAGGCATGTGGTCGAGTTGAAAATATTCCGTGAAAACAAGGGGATGTATCCACGTAACTCGAATGCGAAGAAGCATCAGATGAGTAACGTGGACATTTCCATCTGAAGCCTTGGTTGGCGCGTAGAGGATAGGGAATCCTTACACTAACGTGTACGAGTATTACTTACAGTCGCACCGTGATGATAAGTTAAGGGTGACCTTTTCAAATCGTATGTAACACCATGATGTCAATGATTTACCTCTGTACCCATTTTTGCTTCAACACGTTATAGATTGGTCAGGTACACCCCACACAATAATTGGTGGTAGCAGGCAAGTTTTTAGTTGTTAAGTCTACATATTCAAATCAACCGAAAACAATTTGGCTTTGAGTTGCAACCATTGACATTGTAAACAAATGTAGACAAAAGGAATTCAGCTATGGACGGAAGGGCGTTCACATCATTCACATGTCATAGGCAACCCTTCCTTGCCATCACCGATTGACCCTTCCAAGCTTGACAACCTCCGGCGTTTTGCAGGGCGACGAGTGGATGCTTCAGCTTTGGCCTCCTGTCTTTTCTTCCCCTTGGAGTCCTTTCGATCCGGGGCTCGCGTGGCGTTCACGAAAAAGTTGTTGAGTCCAGCTGATGGGGGGAAATGGTGCCAGAAGAGCATTGGAGCAATGGTAGGTTTGATGCGGAAGAAATACTCAGTTGTCCTCATCAATAGCCACCCAGGCGGATGTCCATTGACACTTTGCACAGGTGATGCGAACCTTGCCGTTCTTTGTTGACACCCGGTTATCCGATACCGCGGGACGGCAGCCCTCCTTTGCACATGCACTGAACTCATGACCAAACGCACGATACGGAGGACGGTGCTTGCTTATCTCTCTGCTCTCAACTATGCGCTTCCCCTCCACATATGAGCCATAGACAATCACCACAGTGTTGTAGTCTAAAACATCTGGACTGGAGGCGAGCAATTCGCACAATGAGTCCCAGACATCCGGTATTCCGAACAGTGTAGCATTGCGAACAAAGGCTTGAACCATGGGGCCAACGTTCACAGGGAGGGTCGAGGCTCCTCCAAATCCAATGACGAAATCAAAGGTGTCGCTAAGATACATGTGAGGGGGACGTTGCGATAAACTAATGCAATACCACTTACTCCTTCACCAGTTTCAGCAGTGAGTCAAAGTGATGACTGACCCGTATGGCAGGCCCACAAGTGACAAGGATAAGTCCCCGTCGTCCACCCCTCGCCTTTGGTGTGGTATCGCACCATGGCGTGCCGCCCATGGCGGTGGTCTCCACCGACTCATCCTCCCTCGCATGATTTGACGCGAACCTCATCGCCGCTATGAACTGCTTACCGAGGTAGGCTTGTATGATTTCTGCAGCCGTGGTGTTGGTCCCTCCGGAAGCCCCACCGGTATGCTGCAACATACTGGTGTACTCATCGGAGTGAGTGTCCATGATCACAAAGGTATTGCTGGGAACGTTTTCCAACATGGAGGTGGTGATAAAGCTCGAAGGTATTGTCAACAGACGCGATTGTTTGCCATGAGCCCCTGCCTTCATGGCTAGGCTAGCTGTGGTCAACTGTTGATTACAAAGGTTAGTTGCAGGGGTCAAGGAGGAGGAGTGGCTTACATTTGCAGAAGATTGTTTGTATTGGGTCACGAGGTCAAGATTAATCAGGAGCTTCAGATATTGGTCCTTCATCGAATCTAAGGTTATGTGAACAATGCAAGCTGGCCACGCCTTCTTCACCCTCTTGCGCATCCCATAGCCGATTACCTTGTAAGGCAAGCTCCTTTCCTTTCCATCAACCTTTCTAGCACACAGTGGGCACAGGAACTCCCAATTCTTCGGGACCGAGTCGTGGCCAATGCATCCAGATCCGCCTGGCCGTGTTTGGTGACACATAACGGCGCCACATTTGACGCACATGTAGGATGTTGTTGTATCACACCCATCCGAGCAGAAATGGCAGAAGGTGCCAAGATCGTTTAGTTCAATTTTTGTGATATCGGTGACCGGAGGTTCGATGGCGGGTTCGATGGTGTAGGCAGCTGGGGGCCTACGGACGGGGGCAGCAATCGATGGATCTTGCAATGTCAGACTGCCGATGTCGAGGCGCCCAGGGGCAGACCGAGCGATTCCGAGGTGAATTGCAGCAGCACGAGCTTTTGGAGGCATTGCGTTCGAGTTGAATGAAGGCACCAGCAAAAGAGTCCCCAACTCCACTTTAGTGGAAGAGGATTCTGTGGCAAGCAAATCAACATTTCTCTGCAAACAGACGTGGGTGTGGGAAAGATGCGCTGGCTTAGTCAGTGGATGTGGGAAAGTAATTGCACTGGCCTTTTCCCTTCTTTCTTTCTCAATTAAACGCTTGCAGATACTACTACTAGATAGTCCCACGAGTTCGTGCATTAACTCTAGCAGACGCAATTCTGCACAGAATATTTATGTATGTTACATGTAGGTTCCTCCCAACATAATACACACGACCATGTATTTTTTTTTGGCAAAAAATTAGGTGGATCTCGTGCCATGGCTTAGTTATGGGTGGGTTTTGTGCACCAAACTAGACACCTGAGCTTCCCAATAAGATTAATAGTGGGTGATTACGTGTCTCGCCAACTATCACATTAGTCTTTTTCTGAAATTCCCAACACCAGCGATAGACCCTACCTCAAATGCTGCAAGTACTTCGAAGCTAAGATATTATATTACATAATCTCTGTGCATGTTACAGTTGCGGACAACCAAAATCAGCAAATTTGAATGACACCAAAGACTGATTTTTCCTGCCACAAATGACTGGGAACCCATTTTTAGTGCAGAATATGTTTTTTGAGGACCAGTGCAATGGATTTGCACGAGCAGATTGTCCAAAACTCTCATTTGAGGATTTTCTAGGCCAAAATCTTGGCAGTACCATAAATAAATCGCTAAAATCTCGAAAAATATGGCAATCGCTTCCTTTTGATGTCCCGTGCATGATTCCATTGAAATATTACAAAAACAACAAGCCGTTCTAGCGCTAAAAATGGTAAGTGTTGAGGTAATTACCCCTGGAAGGTCCTTCAAATGCTCCTGAACTTCTCGCGGCTGAGCCGCAAATGGGTGAAATCATACGCAATAAAGTCTACATAGCTAAATTAGAATGATTTTTTTGTCAATGACATGTCGTCTTGGTAATATAGGCCCCCAAAATGGTGCCGGGGGGGTACACAACATCTTTCAAATTGTCCAAACATTTGGCGGGCCAAAAACCTCGTGGGAAAAACTTCGGACTACTGTTTTTAGACGTATTTTCACTCCCTGAGTTCAGATCTGGCCTTGGTTTGGCACAAAAAATTCACGCTGGATGGCTACCAAATTGGTGGCGTTTGCTTGTCCGCAACTGTAGATACATCTAAAATTTGTCTAAAATAGGCGGTTTTCCAAATTCGGACGTACATGGAAAAAAAATGACGAATCTCATTAATGTTGAAAACTGCTGCAAATTCACGATTTGCGTAGCTCAAGCTAAGTGCTGTGAAAGCAAAATAGATGTTGTAGATGCGTGGGAAAGCATGCAAAACACATGATTGAAAGAAAAATTTCAGAAAAAGACTAATGTGATAGTTGGCGAGACAATCACCCGCTATTATTACAGTCACTGCGGAAGTGAGAAACTGATCAGACCTGGAAAGGGTACGAAAAGATGAATGTAAACAGTATCTAAACAGATGTAGCAAATGACACGGATTCCGAGGTGTTAGAATCTGGAGAGATCCTCAATTCAGACTGTTATCCAACACTGGAAAACTCGACGTTGCAGAGGTGCACAGAAACAGTAGAACCTAAACCATATGTCTGATTTGCGTCTGAATACAATCATATTTGACTCGGATTAGCATCTGGTTACAAATGTGTGGATCCCTGTGATTCTGGGGATTTGCCAACTTCTGGTTGCTTCGCATTGGCTTTTCCCCATTCCCCTCAGCCCCCTTGTTCGCCTAACGATGTACGGGGCACAGCGCCGCCCTAGCGGTGCTCCAGAAAATCAGCCAATGAGCGACACGAACTCGAATCCATACCAGCTTGGTTCCCCAGGCCACGACTCAAACCCGAGTCCATACCAGTTTCCCGCCTCTACTGACTCCTGGAACCCCGCTATCGAATGCTGGCGGTCATGCGCTGCCACAGGTGGATGATTTTTTCAGTCGACCGCCTCAGGCTGGTGAAGCCGCAAAGCCGCCGGCGCAGGAACATCGAACGCCGTCCCATATAATGCGTCCCCCTAGCGTATCGCAAAACTTAGTCACTCCGTCATTTCAGGGAGGGACTCCATACCTGGGACACAGCTCACGCACTCCGTTCTCAGGCAGCGAGTCTTCAGGGTCTCGCGCACCCTCTCTCGGACCTGGAGGCAACTACGGTCAGCTTTCGGGTCCTGCACATCATCAGCCCCATATGATGCCGCACCTAGGCTTCAATCGCGGTTCTCTGTATCACGATTCTGTGGGGTACGAGCTTCAGAACTCGGTTTCAATCCTCACTGCTAGGATGGGAAGTTTAGAAGAAGCGAATCTCCAGCTGCAGACTTCTTCCAAGCATATTAGTTAGTATGAGTAGCTAGCTACAAGGATGCGTAGTACTTACTTTATATTTCTGGGCCTCTTGCCAGCGCATGACTTGAAGTCGGTCAGGAGTTTCGGGTTCGGTCGCGCTGAGGTCGACATGTTCAGGAAATTGTAGTAATCTGGGCCGCTTGGTGGGCCGTCTAAGCGTGATTTCGACTGTCTACAAAGGTACTTAGTTAGTTGGTTGTATTTAAATCTAAAACTTACCATAGACCCTGGCCGCTTGGTTTCAAAGGTAAAACTGAATGCCTGTAGTTTCGAAGGTAGTTCAAGCTTGATCTTATCTGCGTCGTCCGACATAGTGCGAGTTAACGATGGACTTAGAGAAATTTTTCGAAAAACGTACCTCACTTAAATCCAATCGTATGCAGACGTCGAAAGAGTGGATTTCCCGGGTCAGTTAGTGTTGGAACAGCAAGTATTTGAAGAGAATAAACGGACGTCGGAAAAGACATGGTGGCGAAGTCCAAAAAGCATCTGTTTATGTTTGTAGCTGTGGACCAAACGAAGGCTTTGCTTCAAAATCTACGATACGTCGGATTTGCGTCGGATTAACAGCTAGGTACGTTTTGTGTCTGCTCACTTGCCCTTTCTCCCTCGGAATATGGTCTGATCAGTTTCTCACTTCCGCAGTGAGTGTGTTGCAAATGACTCTAGAGGTGCACGAGAATTTTTTTGCGAGCTCGGTGTTTGTAAATGATTTGTAATAGCCACACGCGTGACTTTCGGTCACTTCGAAACGATTCCTTTGCATCCTGCAGCGCCCAGGCTGCGTCAGTCACTCTGACACTTGTATCTGCACTTTCTCCGTCGATGCTATGCATGCGTTGCGCACAGTGAGTTAGTGCAACTCGTTGTACTCGATAATTGACATAGATTTTTGGCAGGTAATGTTATGAACCTTGAATACTATTCCTACTAGTAACTCACTCGATAATTGCAGGGATCTCGGCCGCTCCAAGGCGATATCACAACCCTCCGAGCGCTGAGTTACAAAATATTGACGGAATGTCGAGATTTTATTACTCAGCGTCCTTCTGCAGGTTGGTTGCAAAGAGGCGGATGGATTGGTATTCTTCTTTCCCTGTTCATCGAGAACGTTCACTGATATTTTCCCGCTTATCTCCATACTGTGCTTGCCATGTTGCCCTTAATAATTCATTCCTTTCACTAGCTTGTTTTGCTTGCTTCTTGTGAGTCAATGCCATGCCTCGCAGTGCTCGAGAGATTGTGGCTATGGACACATCAACATCTCGATAGGACTGCAGCTTCTCCTGCAGCTCGTCAAGGTATAGAGGTGGGTTGGCCTGAATAATTGAGCGCAAGTAGTCGAGATCAGTGGTACTCAGAGTACGTGGACGGCCTCTTCCTCGCGCAAATGGATTGGTGTGTTGGCCATATTCGCGGTGGTTTCACAAGACATTGTAGACAGTAGCTTCACAACATTGAGCCAGTTTAGATATTTGAGACACAGTCTTCCGTTGTTCGTAGCGCCAGACAGTCATATTATGGCGCATTTCAGGAGTGATTAGAGGTGCCATTGAAACTCGTTGGGAGCTCTCAGTGCTACAGCATATGATTGCGGCCAAGTGTGACAGAAGTCACACGTCAAAACAAAGGAACAAACAAAAGCTGGCGAATTTTTGAAAATGAGATTCTAAAGTCATTTGGCAACGCACTGTATAGTTACTTATGATTGGGGAGGTCGGGTAAAACTAGACTGCTGATATGTTTGGTTATGTTTTTGGTACAAACATGTACACGTGTCACGCTAACAACCACCGCGTTCTGGATCATCGAAGCCGTCGTCACTGAACGAAGGATGATGCAGGGCACTGAGCGCTGATGCATGATGGGCCATGACTGATTACTGTCCACGGAAGCCATCTCTATGAGTAGTGCAACAATTTTGACCCATGTTTACCTCTGGTCTGTCTTTAAGCTTCAAGTTATCAACCAACAACTCTTGTTGCCAATGAGTCTTCCTCCTCCAACTTCTTGAACAAGGAATTGAGTATCTTTTTGTCTACGCGACAAGGATCAAGTGTCGGCAAGGGCTTCGTGCACAGTTTTTACATGAATAGGAGGGATGTTCGGTCAACAGTATGTTGCGGAGCTCATTGAACGAAATACCGTTGTGGCTGTAAGATCTGATGGCCCGTTGCACGTCCGCCAAGGAGAAAAGTGATTCTGATATGAAGTCGTCCTCGCTGGCCGTTTCAGCACCATCTTCCTCAGGTGTTGCAGTGAATTGCGAAATTTGATCTGATGGTACGTTGGGATGTATGTCCCATCTCATCCTGATATTCAACGATGGTGTCAGGAGTATAATCGGGAGGGGTGTTCGATGGTTTTGATAACTGATCCTCCTGGTTCTTACCAGCGCTCGAATGAACATGGGTGTACCAGAAATTCTCTGCAGACTTCAAGACTTCGTTGACGCTGAGCGTCTGGCTCAACCTCTGCACGGAACCCCATATGGGATCACTTGCTCGGTATGGTGGAAAATCGATCCACGCATGCACAGAACAATTGGTCAGCATCCTGGGGTTTCTCCTTCAAGTGCCGAAGGTAAGACCGTATGGCGATCTTTGCATCTAAGGTTCGAACGACCACCTGAACTGTTCCTCCTCTGTGAATCCTAAGGATAATATGTCAAGAATACTGTGAAATTCATGTTGCGTTCAACTTGCCTTGATCTGTACCGTCGTCCCGCCGTCCGTCTTGCAGGTCTAGGCTACCAGCGAGTAACTGACTGAACTGGCGCCATGTGGTCAGGCCCTCATACAGATGATCCACTCTCTCCCGACCATTGATCTCGCTCCTGGTCCGTAGGGAGAAAAACCCATGATTTTCTTGCACAAAGTCTGTTCTTTGATGTGGTCCTCCTCCGCCAGGCAATGGTGCAAAAATACAAGGGGTTTATCAAGGGTATGTCCTGCACATGCAGAAAGGACGATATATGTGAGCGCAAATATGTTAGCATTTGAAGGACTCACCACTGCGAAGCCATGCCTCCCTCCGCAAGCTAGAGATTCGGATCTCTGGGACCATTGGTGGATGGCCAGCAGTCTGTTGCTCTCGCTATTTTGAACGGATGATGTCTCAGTTCAGATCCACATCCATTTTGGATGGGACAGCCTTAGGAGGCCGTGTTGGTCGCACCACGGAGGGGGGACCAGGTGATGGTTTGTGTACATCAGCTGTGTGGTCAGTCATAGGCAGTGTAACCGTGACCTTAGGTGATCTGTCACTTCCGATGGGAGCCCCCTTGTGACCTTCTAAACAAATGTTGGCAGCAGGGATAAGAAACAAACAGGAAACACACCCGTGCCTATTGACGAACGGGTTTCCATTTCCGGTCTGGCAACATGCTGCCCATCATCTACAATGAATGATGTACACAGATGTGAGATGTGGGTACATGCAGCGTACAATAGCCGTACCTCGGCGCGCATTCAATGATTGATCATGTGCTTGCTGCAGCATTGCAGTCACCGTGTTGGTTGGACCCCTTGCATAACCCATTTCCCCACACCTTGCGATCCTTTGTATCTGGATCAGAAAATCGACTGATGCTGCGAAAAAATATATCGGCAGCGGTGTCGGGGTTGCTTTTCGAATTGCGCAGGTAAGCTCGCACCGCGATCCTCGCATCCAATTTGAGAAACGGGAGGTCAGGCTCCACGCTGTCTGGGAATCAGAGTATAGTATGCATCCTACAGAAGTGATGATTTCATGAATGCTCATACCTGAACCCATGTTGTTAGTCCGCCGATCCAGCTCCAAATCCAACGCGTCAGCCACTAAATTACTGAACTCGTCCCATGCCATCTCGCCGTCGATCAGCCGGTCGACGCGAAAACGACCACTGTTGTCGTGTCCCGTCGTTGGGCAGCATGTCCATGATTTCCCTCAGGAAGTCTCGGCGTTCGATCTCCTCCTCGGCCCGCAAGCAATGGTACAAAAAGACCAGAGGTTCATGCAGGGTAAATCCTGCAAGGCACCACAGAAATGTTAGTACAGGCAAAGACTGGAAGTAATCTGCTGCTGACCATCGCGTAAAAACTGGTCCTTTCGTTCGCTGATGAATCGAATTGGTGGGCTCATGGGATTCGTGCCACTTGTCTGGCAGTTCCGCATTTTCATTGTATGCGATGTCTATCTCCTCCCCCCCTTTTTGAGGTGCTTGATGGCTGCATCCATATCTTTCTTGAAACATCTCTGTGAGGTCAAGTCCCTTGGACATCCATGCATTGTCCGTTCCGCCAAGCATCATCGGGATGTCATTCACATTTACGCCCCAGCCCGTTTCTGAGGCCATCGCGAGTTAGCGCAGATGCACACTCCGCATCGGATACGCCTACCGAACATCTTCTTGTTCCCTTGGTGCAACGGATCGGCCGCTAAATACATGTCCGCATCGTCAGGCAACTCATCGAACTCCACGAATAGCCAATCTCGGTGATCGCGAATGAGGAACTCGTCGAGTGATTTAATCCGCTCATCATTCACGCCGTTCGCGATGCACTCCTCCAACACAATTCTTCTGGCCACCATAGCTTGAAGGAAACGTGCACCAGCATTCTTGCGAGACGTGTCAATCAGATCCGCCCTCTCTTGTTGCGTCTTTGTATTCTTCTGCTTTTGTTTATTCTTCTTTGACTCACCATCCCAACATTTCCACACCGCCAACCAGTACTCTACACAGTAGCAAAGATACACCCAGGACGACCGATATCTGGTGGGAAGGGGCACATAGCCGATAATCCGCCGGTCCTTCATAGCAGGAACCCGCAAAAACTCGAGCTGAGCGGTATCCCCTGCACCGTAGCTTATCAGTTCCGGAACGCCGTAATGAAATCCTCTGAGGTGCACGTGCATCCCATTGGCCCATAGAGAGTTCGGCCTTGCTGACAGGGATGCGGAAATCACGGATGGGTTGAGGAAGTGCCCCACTGATGGTAGAAGGACGTTTTTCTGCAGATTTGCTGCGGTCATCGCACGACGCTGTTTGCGAACGGGTTTGAAGTGAGGTTGAGGCACAGTGCTCCTGTGTCGCTGGCGGCTTTTTTTCTTGATGCGAGGCATTCAGTGAGTGTCAGCACGAGAGGTGTAAGTGTGATTGTGAATCACAATGATAACATAGCGACATTTCTGAACTCCGCCGCCAATGACCGATCCCAAACTGATGGTACTAACCCCTATGCTCTATTCGTGATGGTACATTATTTCGTGAGTCACACTCATGTCACGAATAGTAACGGACAGTCACACCGGCTGAATTTACAGTCCGCTCGGCAGACGTTAGATTCATGGTTCGTGATTTGTGAACTTTAACAACAATTGATTAGGACGGCATTAGTAAGTCCGTTAACTACAGCATGTATGCAGAATTATGTACAACTAAATGCAATTCATTAACGCTGTGTAAAATATTGCTGAGGGAATGTAGTATGTGGATGTGGGTATTGATACATAGGTGGATTGTGACTTGGATGTGGGGGTTGAGTGAAATAATATGGTGGATGAGGAGCGGGAATACTGAAACCAGTGTGAGAAGAGGGATGTATGAAGGCTGGGAGCACATACATACGTCCTAGTATTTATGTATTTGTCAATGTCGACTCCCGGAGACACTGGAAATCAACCATTAGTGTTTTATCATCTCATCAATCTGTAGCGTGGGGGAACACTGTGACTCTGTAAAGTCCATGGAAAGTCGAGATTCTGACGCGACACAAGAACTTATCTTTGGTTTATAGATCATCGCATGCCTCACCTGCATTATCAGTGGAGATCAGGGTGTCCTGGATCATGAAGATGAACCATTCACTGAGTAACTTACTTCACACATACTAACATTTCATAGATGAAGGCCACACACGACTTGCGGAATACATGACGAGCAAGACGGTCTCTCACCTGAACGATACTGTGCAGCTAGGGCTGTTCACCATACCGTATATGGCGTACAGCCGTACCGTATACAGTGTGCCACCGTATGAAATCAAAAAATGACAGTCCATTACGGTTGCAAAAAACATGCTGACGGTACGGTACGTGGTACTTTACAGCGGTATACAGTAGCATACGGTACATACAGTACATATGCTCCCATGTACCAAGATTATCGCCGTCCACATTGCACCAAAACGCTGAGAACCGGCATACCAGACTCACCAGCTGTCTTTGTCCTTGCTAGACAACCCTTGTTGATCGTCTGCTGTAGCTGAGCCTCTGAGCAGCGACTATGTCAACCCCAACCAGTGAAACAACAGCAACTACGGCCCGCCGGTGTCAGGATACAACTATCGACGTCACTCTCGTACGTACTCTTCCTTTTCTTTTACATGTGCAATCACCCTTCGTTAGATGTGTTAGACACGTTCTATGAATGGCGGGAAGTGCATGGATCAATTTGAATGACTCACGTGTGTGCGCTTTGGATTTCAACTGCTCTGCTGCCCACTTGTTTCCCCAAGTCCAGATACGTCCAGATCCCACTCTTGTGGTGGGAGCAAGTAACGAGGAGACGGGTACCACAAATGAAAACTGCCTCGTTCAGTTCACCAAGGCATTTCCTCTTGAGTTGGCGCTTGGGACTCGGACGCTACTTTGTAAGTGCCAGTGATGGCCGCCATTGAATCTTTTTCGGTGTCTCGGTCAGCACTGGCAGGAGCGTCGACGAGGGAGTGGTCACTTACGTGCACCAAGGAGTCTAAGGTGAGTGGGCACTAATTTGTGTCTCCTACAGGATACTAAACCCACATGTCGGCCTTGCTGTAGATACGTGGTGTCCCGCATGCAAGCTAGTGTTTCAGGAGTAGCGCGGTGGTCGCTTGTAATGTGCTTCGCCCTGTTGCGGCTGATTCTATTTCTCGTCTCATCGATATCTTTCCGCATTGATCTTGTCCTGATAGGCGACCACATGAATGCAACGAATCATTGACTCGATGACTGCGGTGATATCGTAATTCAGCTTGAGGCAACTACCCCCTGGGTACATTCGATTACACGACTTCTCCTGACCACTGGAATAGGTCGATTTGGCAACCATACAGACGCGCAGCTCTACACGTGGGCTGGCCAATATACACACGAGATCATACATACAGGCTGTCATCAATACGGTCTGTACCACCTATCCGAGTCATCGAGCGACGACAGAACAATACTGTCACATGCATTCTCATTGAAGACCACCGCTAACATCAGATTCTTCCCATGCTTGCGCACTCTACGGCTGCGCGAGCTGGTACATATTGGGCTGAATCGCGGTTCATGGTACTATGGTTAGTGTCGTTCTTACCTGCACAACCGGCCACATCATCAGGCAGACCTTACCAATTTGGCATGTTTAGCTTGAATTCATCAACTTATCTTAACCAATCTTAGTCAAGTGGTTAACAGGTTTGATATCTGTTGGTGCAGGTTCGAAACCTGCTGACAATAGTGCTGACAATCTTGATTGCACCTTGGGCATGAGCTCATGGAGAGATCATCGAACGTCAACGGTAAGGGTCATGGCCAAGTCGTTAACAGATTTGAAATCTGTTCCTCCCGGATTGTGCAGGTTCGAAACCTGCTGACAACAGTTTTTTTCTATGATCGCACCTTGGGCATGAGCTCACGGAGAGGTCTTTCGAACGTCAACCATAAGACTTATGGCCAAGTTGATAACTGATTCGAAGTCTGTTACTCCTGGATGGTGCAGGTTCGAACTTGACCTGCCGACAATGTTTTTTCTCTATGATCTGAATCCTGCGTATCATACTTGGTACACTGTCAATCGTTTATTGGGAGCAACATCGAATTGCACGCGTCGTCAAATACTCAGTACATGTGGTGATATGTACTCTAACGTAAAAGTTCGGAGAGGACAGAAAACCTAGCGGGAGCTGGAAGCAGTCAAACTTGTTTGTCCAGTGCGTGCAAGACGCGGGAACCACATTGTGAGAACTGCAATGTAGCCGATGTCTGGAACATGTTCAACGTCCAACAGGGAAGGAGATCCGTTACTAGTAGCTGCACCGATACTTCCAGTCTGCAACGTTACTGGGGTGGCTCCGCCGATAAAATTGTTTGTCCCTGCTGGTGGCGTGCTGCTACTCGAGGAGCTAGCATTGGCTTATTGGCAAGGAGGACATGGTGGCTGCACCAACTTATGCCCTTTGCCACTGTGGGCATTAGCGGTGTGCTACGAGACAATATCAGCATCATGAGATGGATATCGAAAAATACATATTTGCCCCGAGTTGCAAAGACATCCACAAGAGGAATCCTACATGGGCGAGGAGGATGGCCTTTGGGAGCAGAGGAGCCAGAAAAGGGGTGGTTCATCACGTTCTTCATTCCGGATCCCTCGGCGCAGCTGTTGTGTCCAGGTGGAGAATGTGGATCGAACTGTCAAAGGATGGTGAGTTGCGTGCCGCCACTACTGTACCAATATTGCAATTCTCGCGGAGAAACTCCTGATCATTGCCTTCGAAGTTTGGCATATTGATAATGTGGTACACACCGCAGAGCAGTTGAAATGTAGCTCAGATCCTAGTATGACAGTGTACACAACCGACAATAGCGAGGTTCGAAGAAGTGCACATCCGTGAGTCACATTTAAATTCATCCATGTCCTGCGAGTAGAGGCGAGCGACGACGCAAGAGATGAGCTATAAGAGAATGTATTCTAATGGGTATGTTAGCTCGTTATCGAGGGGAATAAAACTAAGGCTCACATCTCAGTCTTGGTAAAAGGACTGAGATGTTCATACGACGTGTACCTTCTTTTAACTACGGGTAGAATAGGAATAAAATAAACATATCAGTTTGAAACA